TACTTACATTTATTGTTTTACTAAGGAAATAACTCCTTCATTTGTTTAAAAGCTTATTATCAATACTTCTATATAGTGATTTATGACAGTTCTCTGTCTACGAATAATAATTTATTACACCTTGACAGTTATTTAAAAAGATGGCGGAAAATGTAAGGCGTTATTATAATTTTCAAAATGTTTTACGTTAATGAGAAATTGATAATGAGAAATTGGGATAATAAAAAAGTTGGTGGGGTATGCTTCGGCACGAATGGGTCGGCTCGACCGGAGTGATACCACAGCCTCACAGAGAACCGTCGTGAAACAACCACAGCGTTGTGTTACGCGATGTGAGTGAGGCTATCGGAGGCCCAGTCCTTTTTCTCCTCCCCTTCCTACATCTCCAAAATCGTTATCCTCAAAAAGCCGATAAAACGCATTCGTAAGTCTTCTGGTATTGTAGGTGTCCATGGGCGGCGCTGATTGCTTACCATCAGGTAATCCGTCTGCTCGTTTGCCGACCTATCACAAAAAAAAACTAATATGCATGCAATTAGAAACAGACACTGCATCATGATAAAACAATGATGTATTCCGATTTTAAACCTTTTGTCACTAAAAATAGGTTTAAGATTACCTCGTTCTAACCCTGACCTGGATTTAAAGGCTTCCGTATTGACGTATCTTGTATGCAACCAATGTCTTTCCTGATAGCCAGTCGGCCATCATAAAGTCATAGCTACTGTTTAAGTGAAAGGCAGACTAGGTGTCTTTAGTTTCAAGTGTGATGGTTGAACAAGGAGTCCCCGATAGTCTGGATTAAAAATGGGTCGGGTGAGGTATTTTTTTTTGAGGAAGACAATCATTCTTTGACTTCTACCGTCGTGGGTTGGGCGAGTGAGAGTGTTAGAACTTAGACTCTTATGTAATAAAAACCAACCCATTCCTTACATTATTGCACACACACAGGGTGGTCGTGTCCAGGGTGCCATAAACTGCATTGTGATTCTGTAAGACTTCATTCTAAACTTCAAATCTGAATCCGATGTGAGTAGTAGTACACTAGCGCTACACTTGCGAGTTGAACTAAATTGACCGCAACATTTTGATAGATAAAGTATGAGATGACGTTAAAAGTGGTATTCTATAATGTAATTTTCCCGTCACTTCACACTCGAACAAGATTCAAAATCAAACAAATTTTATAGATACGACGTGTGGATAGGGTTTGCGGATGTAAGGATCGCGAAGGGATAGGGGAAGGGGAGGGATTGACACTCACACGGCGAAACACAACGCTGTGGTTGTTTCACGCCGGTTCTCTGAAATTACTCCATTTAATAAAAAAATTAACTATTTACCTTGTCTATTACAAAAAATATTTCTAATTATGAATTTGAAATCAACAATCTGCCTTGAGCAAGCGTGGTGATTAATGCTCAAATTTTCTCCGTGTGAGAAGAGGCCTTTGCTCAGCAGTGGGCACTTATAGGAAGAAATATGTGTGATACAATATACCAGCCGGGGTTGCGCAATGAGGCACCGCGACCTCGGCCCAGAGCAGGAGAAGGAACAGGGGGATTTTTAGTCAGTAAGAATCTGACACTCCCTCCCACCCGGCTCTGGGCGGGAGAAGTCATTTGATGATTTTACACTCACAAAAAAAAATACATATATACAGATGGTATGCTTTTTGAAGCAGAAAAAAACATTATAACGTACGCATCAGTAACAAAAGAATAAAGAGTTATTGATCGTCCGCAAAACATAATAGAATTTGATTCACTGTTGTCAATCCAATTATTTCCTCTACCTGTATCCAAACAATATAAAAGGGTTGCTATACTTCCTTATTAAAGGAAATGTTATGTATTTGCCCAATGTATTGAAAGGATTCCTTAACCTGTAGTACCTAATATTATAAAGAGGTAAAATTTGTAAGTTTGTATGTAGAGGGTAATCTTTGGAACCGCTGGTCGGATTTCCAAAATTCCTTTCACTGATGTTCCCGAGTGCTTATAGGCTATAAAACATCACGCTACAGTCAAATGGAGCCAAGCAACGGGTGAAACAGCGCGAGATTAGCTAGTCAAGTATAATTTGTAGCCTATAGCACTCAGGAACATTGTAGATATCTAACAGTGAAAGAATTTTGGCAATCCGACCAGCGGTTCCGAAGATTACCCTCTAAATACAAACTTAGGTACAAAATTTATCTCTTTATAATTATAATATTAGTATAGAAGTATAGATTTGCGTATTTTAGTCGAGCTATCGCTTTAAAAGCTACTGTTTTCAAAATCCCGGGATACATTACTTTTATATCCGTGCGAAGTCGCGGGCGGAAGCTAGTATGTAGGTACTTACATTATATATGTATATGATTGTAATAAAATACAAAGATTCCATACAAATCTTTTATTAATTTGTTTGTTTATTGCGTTCTATTTTGAGAAAATAAATTGCTTTTCCCGGTATTTTGCTTCTGGTAGGTAAATATTACAATATTACCGGTGGATTGTTGGTTTAAAAGACTTAATGATGTAAAAGAAAATATGTACATTGTGTCTCAGTGGATTCACGTCTAAAATACACGAAATGTGTTTTTTATTTAGGCGTTAGTTTTAATTAAAGATTCTCTCACTTGTCGCCTCTTTTAATAGGGTAAAAAGTAGCCTATGTGTTTTTGGGGGTATGAGAGAACGGTGTAAAGTGTGGTGTGTTCCTCGTCCTCCATTTAAAAGGGAGGATCCTCCGACCAGACCGGTGTTATGTCTGATGGTCAACTGCTCGACGGTTGTTGTCGGGATTTTGTATAGGTTCTAATTGTGTCTAGAACTGTTGTACCACGATGCAAATCTTGAACGTGATTGGTGCTGTTGCTGCGTGTTGTGGGATAGATGTCGTTACATGTTATTCCAGACCTATCTTGAACTAGATCCGAGCATACGGTTTTTTTTTTGTGAGGGGAAAATCATCAAATTACTTCTCCCGCCCAGGGCCGGGCGAGAGGGAGTGTCAGACTCTTACTGACTAAAAACCCCCCTGTTCCTTATCTTGCTCTGGGCCGAGGTCGCGGTGCCTCATTGCGCTTACACCGCAACCCCGGCTGAACATCAGCCCTTTAGGGCCCCGTCTGTGGTGGTCTATTGGCTCCTTGAGGCGCGCGCGGAACGCTACGCGCCGTACGCTCGGGTTGGTTCTGGTCGGGCGGCGAGCTACCCTTACTCGCCGTCCGCAGACCCGAGCTTACGGTGGCCGGAGATCATCTCTCGATCCGATCGATCTGGAAGCTATTTGGAGGGGGAACTAAGTGAAACCGTGGACATCATGGTTGACATGGATGGATGGATCTTGGATTGGATCTCAGTTAATATTAGCTAGCCTTTGCAAATAACAAAGTTAGTCTTATTGTTTCGCGCAATGAATGCCAAATAGGGTCTCAAATAAATGTATTGTTTATCTTGTCAAAGGCAATTAAATTTTATTATAATCTAGCGGTCCGCCCCCGCTTCGCACGGGTCCAACTATCTCGCTATCAAAGAGTCACTTTTTCCTAATCTTCCCCTCTACTTTTCTAATATTTTCTTTGTGGCGAAGAACCTTCTCCTGACCATAACAAACACAACAAAAAAATAATCAGCAAAATTGGTCCAGGCATTGTTGAGTTATGCGCTTACCAACACGTTTTGCAATCTATTTTTATATACATACTAGCTGCTCGCCCTTGCTTCGCATGGGTATCCAAAAAGTTGCTTTTTTCTAATTTCTCCCTCTACTTTTCTAAAATTATCTTTCATAAGAACCTTCCCCCGACAATAACAATCTCAACAAAAAAAGAATTAGTAAAATTGGTCCAGGTATTTTTGAGTTATGCGCTTACCTACACATTTTGCGATCCATTTTTATATATATGTATAAGATACTGAAATGAAGTGACGTGTTGAATAGTATTAATAGCTTAACAAATTAAACTAATTATTTTGGTTAGGGTTTTCATTTTGTTGACTAGTTATGCAGCTTTGTAACTAATGTGCCAAGTTAAATGGACAGCCGGGGTTGCGGGTTAAGCGCAATGAGTCACCGCGGCATCGGCCCAGAGCAGGAGAAGGAACGGGGGGGTTTTTAGTCAGTAAGAGTCTGACACACTCTCTCGCCTAACCCTGGGCGGGAGAAGTCATTTGATGATTTTCCCCTGACAAACAAAAGTAAAATGGACAGCTTTATTATAAAGAATTAGCGTGGCATTGAGTTTTATACTAGCTTTTGCCCGCGACTCCGTTCGCGTGGAATAGTGAGTTCCTGCAGATTTTCGGTGTAACTATCCTATGTTTTTTTCTCGAGTTCCAAACTATGTCTGTACCAAAATTAACAGAAATCGGTTCAGTAGTTTAGGCGTGAAGAAAGGACAGAGAGACTGACAGAGTTACTTTTGCATTTATAATAATAGGTCTTTACCTATGAAATTGCCGTTCTGCAGTACTGGCCATTTCAAATCAAAATAGTTTTTGTTTGGCTAAGGGTAATTAATTTTGTTTTAAAAACATGGGTTTCTTTTTCCAAAAGTAGACATTTGTTTATTGATTAGTGTTACATTTTCTTCGCATTTCAAATCAAAAAATTCGTTTAAATTTTATTCATGCAAAACGGCAATTTCATAGGTAAAGACCTATTATTAGTATAAATAGTAAAGATATTAGTCTTTAATATATTATGTCAATTTTTTATTAAGGATAACATATTTGATTCAAGTTACACTCGTAAGGTTTTTTCCAAGATCTCTTGAAGGGAGGAAATGTCGTTGTAATTTGCGGTCATTACATGTAGAAATACGAAGCCAGTAATTGCTAAATAATCCTTTCGATTATGTAACCAAACCATTGCTGTTTATGTTACATAAAGTTATATAAAGAGTTCTTCAACGAACATTATGTGTAACATGGTTTTTATTTCCCATACATACGAGTAGATTATGCCATGTCAAAGAAAGGAGAGAAGTAACCTGTTTAAAAAAAATAATGTGGGTGTGTGTGTGTGAGAGAGAAAGAGAGGGGAGGGCAGACAGATAAAGGGGGGGAGAGGAAGTAGAGAGAGAGAGAGAGAGAGAGAGAGAGAGAGAGAGAGAGAGAGAGAGAGAGAGAGAGAGAGAGAGAGAGAGAGAGAGAGAGAGATAGCAAAAAGTGCGGTTACAACTTTTTGTCTTTTTGGTCCAATACCTCCCCTTCCCCTATCCCTTCCCGATCCTTATACCTTTAACCCCTATCCTCAAAAGGCCGGCAATGCACTCGTAACTCCTCCTTTGGTGTTGCACCCTTAATGCGGCATGTCCATGGACGGCGCCGATTGCTTACCATCAGGTAATCCGTCTACTCGTTTGCCGACTTATACTATAAAAAAAAATGTGCTGTTTTACCCGACTACGGCGAAGCAAAAGGAGGGTTTGATTGTGTATGTATATATGTATGTATGTATGTATGTTTGTATGTATGAATGTATGTATGTCTGTAGGCATGTATGTATGGTTCACCTGTTCTCTCGTAACTTCTAAACTACTTACTTATCACATTCGACATATGGCATATCATCAGAGAGGTCTTAATTGTCCGCTGGTTATAGGCTATTATAGGGTATAACAAAATCTAATGTGGTAGGTACGTATATTATGTAACGTGTGACTACGCCTTTCGGTATTCTGAAAATCTTGTTTTATACTTTTTCAGTGTCAGTTTTTGTCGTAGTTGGGTTTTAGTTTTTATAATTTTTGGTTGTCAACTATTAAGTTACTTAGTAATAATAGTTCAAGTATATTTAGTTTATTGATTACTTGTTTATAAACATATTTTGATGATGTGTTTTAAAAATCTATTCTTCTCGTCCACAGGTAATTAGGGGCGTTCATATAGAGCCTGCTCACATTGTGAAGAAACGCAGCATCGATCAACCATTAAGAATAAGTATATTTTACGATCACTCTGTATATAGGTGAGTCATTCTTTTTTTTTATATCATCATCATCATCATCGAATTGCTAAGAATTGCACGAAATTATTAGGTATATGGGAATGTTTCGTGGTGGTCTGAGCGATACGGGTTCCAAGCCTGGCAATTACCAATGTGACTTTTCCCGAGTTATATGTAATTTCTATATTATTACAAGCGGCCCGCCCCTGCTTCGCACGGGTCCAACTATTTCGCTATCAAAGGGTCACTTTTTCCTAAGCTTCCCCTCTACTTTTCTAATGTTTTCTTCGATAAGAACCTTCTCCTGACAATGACAAACACAACAAAAGAAGAATTAGCAAAATTGGTCCAGGCGTTGTTGAGTTATGCGCTTACCAACACATTTTGCGATCCATTTTTATACATAAGATTAAGACACCACTGACATACGGTGAAGGAAAACATCGCGAGGAAACCAAATAATTTCTAATTGGAAGTTGAAAATCACTAATCCGCCTTGAGCAAGCGTGGTGATTAATGCTCAAACCTTCTCCGTGTGAGAAGAGGTCTTTGCTCAGCAGTAGGCACTTATAGGCTGATGATGAATATGAGAAATTAAAACACTTATCACTTAGGACTATGAAAAATAGCCAGTAACCTATCCTTAGACCTACTGAATATGCATATAATTTTTTTTAAAAATCAGTACAGCCGTTTCGGAGAACTAAGGTTACTAACATTGTGACTAAAGAACTTTATATTTAACTAGCGGTCGCCCACTATTTCAAGATTTTTAAATTTACTCTGCCACAAACCTTCTCTGGACTTCCACGAATAATTCAAGACCAAAATTAGCCAAATCGATTAAGCCATTTTTTTAAAACGTTGCCCCACCCTAGGATTTTCTCCTGTGTCGTGGGTGCGTTTTTACAAACATACAATTTCACATTTACATCGCACCCAGACCCGGAACAACGATTTGTGGATCATACAAAGTGTTGTTCCGTGCGGGAATCGAACCCGTGGCACGTCGCACGGCAGCCAAAACCCGTTGTTGAATTATAACATGACAACGAAAAGTGGCATTGATGGCATCGGCTTGAATATTATAAAATAGTTATTAATATTGTTGTCTACAATGACGTATTATATATAGACACGTCATGAACCAACATCGCGGCGCTTAAAAACGGCGAAAATACTAGATAACTACTTCTACGAGTAAAGAAAGGGAAAGAAAATTGTGGAATGCCTTTGCTAGAGGGAGATAAATATACATTTTCATTTATGCCGACGGCACGTGACTATACCTTCATGCGCCGGCCGCCATAAGATGGCGGGCGCCGGCGTCGAAAAAAATAAAATAAAAATAGGTTGTTTGGTGAACTTACGCATGAAATGACACATTTTTGTCTTTAACTTTTGGAGTATAATTTGTACATCGTCTGAACACACACGACGACATGCTTTCTTTATGTTTCGCACAGGTTTACACACACGATATAAATTAAAAACAAACGTAGCGTCGCGCGGCAGGTTGGTGCGTAACTAAGCGCGATGTTGTCAATTGCCTTCATTTCATGTTGTCATTTTAGAGCGCGGACAACGTATCTATAGTTTTATACATCATTGGTTGTCTATTTAACTTAATGAAAATAGGTATTACTTTGAACAAAGTAAATTAATTTTTTGCTTTTTAGTTTATTTTTGAAGTCGGGTTTTTTATATACATACCTAGATCTATTTACAAAACTTAATTTGAATGATTTATTTAATCACTTAAATCTTAATGTGACTTGGTTTCCAATTAACTCTGTTCTGTAACTCTGTAAATAATTCTGTTCTCGTATTTGTTATTTCAATTAAGTACGGAATATTCTGTGTTTACTTAGAGCCTGGAATTTTACCAGTATTTGACTTTTAATTAACTTTTTATTTGTCAACTAACTGTTTAGCGTTGCTTCGCTCGCGTACCGAGGGAACATCTTCCCGTGCACGAATAAAATATAATCTACTAACTTTTACCCGTGACTTCGTTCGCAGATTTTTGGTAATAAAAACTATTTTATGTCCTTTCTCAAGTTCCAAACTACATCTTATGATTAGAAATTATAAGTCCAGCAGTGTGATTCTGTAAGACTTCATTCTAAACTTCGAATCTGAATCCGCCGTGAATAGTAGTACACTAGCGCTACACTTGCGAGTTGAACTAAATTGACCGCAACATTTTGAAAGATAAAGTATGAGATGACGTTAAAAGTGGCATTCTATAATGTAATTTCCCCGTCATTTCACACTCGAACAAGATTCAAAATCAAACAAATTTTATAGAATCGACGTGCAGGTTTACTCACTTCGTTTTCCTTCACCGTTTGTCAGTGGTTAAAATACACTAAGAAAGTTCATGTAACTTAGAAAAGTCACTTTGGTAGGTACTTATCATGCTTAGCACCTGCATACATGAAAAGCGAGAGTCATTACCCCGGGCTTAGACAAACTAGACACCGTAAAATGATAAATATTGTATAGGCTATCTCGAGTTTATGACCTATATAATGATTTTGAAGCTCGACCTTTCCTATGAATTGACCTAGTTTCGTTTTTTACACCAAAAAAGCGAAAATTGGTCAATCCGGTCCTCCGGTCGAGCCGAATAGGTCGGCTCGACCGGTTCGATCGTTTCGAAGCTTGGCTCTCCTATATCTATATGGCTCTCAAATACGATACAATATGAATATGGATAGGAATGGATACTCCTTGCTAATCCATCAGGCTAATCCCTAAGCTTTGTTGCCAACGAACGAACAACCTAGAAAAAACTCCTTTTAACTTCTAGCTGGCCCAGCAAACTCCGTACAGGATTAAATATTTAACTGTTCCGACCTTTTAAAGCTTCTCTAGATTTCAACGCATATTTTAAGACTTCTCCTTCCCATCCTTGATTATGCAGATGCCAGCTATCCAGATCTTACCGAAATGCAGTTAAATAAACTTGAGCGACTCCAAAATTTCTGCATCAGGTTCATATTTGGATTACGCAAATATGACCATATTTCTGAATATCGTGCAAAACTCAAGTGGCTGCCGATCCGCCTTCGCCGGAATACTCATATATTATCCCTTTTATACAATATACTGTTTAATCCTGCAACCCCTTTTTACCTTAAAGAACGTTTCAAGTTCCACCATGACACACAATCTCGACCAATAAGGTCGTCGGAGAGGTTGAGGCTTGAGATGCCCCAGCACGAGAGCAGGTGCTTTGACAAATCCTTTTCGGTTCAAGCTGTTCGACTGTGGAATGCTCTACCAGTCTCCATTAGACAAGCACAGTCCCTTGTCACTTTCAAATCGCTCGTGAAAGAACATTATCTGGCCACGCTATAATTATAGTTAGGTATATCTTTGATGTATGTATGTATGTATGTATGTATGTATATATGTATGTATGTATATATGTATGTATGTATGTGTAAGTATGTGTGTATGTATGTATGTATGTATGCATGAATATTGTATATAGCTTGTTAATGTTTTTAATTCTATTGTTACACCTAGACTGCCACCCACTACTACAATACTCCGTCCACCTAAAGGTTGCCTGGTAGAGATCGCTTTTAGCGATAAGGCCGCCTTTGTACCCAGTACTTTGGATTCACTCATTTTGTACTATGCATGTCAACTCTTTTGGTGTACAATAAAGTGTATTTATTATTATTTATTATTAAGACCAAATTATCCAAAACGGACCAGTCGTTCTCGAGTTTTAGCGAGACTTACAAACACAAATTGATTTTATATTTAAGAAGATAATTAATTACTAATTCTATTTTCTTTTTCCTTTGCAGGTTAGAGCCGGAGAAGTTTGATATGATAAATGTGAGTAAATATATATTTTTTTATAATTAAATAAGTATTTTCAATATTTCTTTAAGGGCTGATTTTCAATAGTCAGATGAATGTTATCTTAGGAATAAAATTGTTGCTGTCACTGTCTATACAAACATTCTGACGAGACAGAATCATTACGTTTATCTAACCACTAGCCCTTACCCGCGGCGTCGCTCCCGTCATTTGAGTACCTACCCTACTCTACCTACCCTACTCTACCTACCCTACTCTACCTACCCTACTCTACCTAACCTACACTACCTAATCTCTCCTATCCTATGTCCTTCTCCTGGCTCTAAACTACCTCCCTGCCAATTTTCAGCTAAATCGGTTCAGCCGTTCTTGAGTTATAAGTGGAGTAACTAACACGACTTTCTTTTATATGTATAGATTGAAAAATTAGCCCTTAAATAAGATTTTATCAGGTGTATCTATAAGTCCCTTAACTAAATACTTTAGAGATTTTTTGTGTCTGTCTGTCTGTCCGTCTGTCTGTCTGTCTGTCTGTCTGTGGCATTATGGAGCCTGAACGGATGAAGCGATTTCAATTTAGTTTTTATTGTATTAAAGGTGACTTACGTGAGAGTGTTCTTAGACATGTTTGACGAAAATCGGTTGAGCCGTTTAGAAGTTATGGGGGTGGGGAGGTAAGTGGGGAGGGGTAACCGAAGGTCTGCAAATATAATCGAGTGGGGTCTCAAATGAAAGCGCACTGAAAGGGAGTGTTGTTATAGATTTAGAGTGACGGTATACAGTTTAAAATGAATTTATTGTCATGCAAACTGAACGTGTATACAAAATTTCATCTCACGGGGTTGAAGAGATCTGCTACAAAAAATTGTTGCAAGTTTCCACTTCTCAAACATACTTACTTAAATAACAAGATAAATAAAAAATAGTACTTTAACTAGAGTTTTAATTTTTTTTCGGCAAACGAGCAGACGGATTACCTGATGGTAAGCAATCACCGCCGCCCATAGAAACCCGCAACGAAGAATTACTAGTGCGTTGCCGACCTTTTAGGGATTAGGGATTTGGAGATTTAGGGATTGGGGAAGGATTGGGGGAGGGGAAGGATTGGGCCTCCGATAACCTCACTCACACGGCGAAATGCAACGCTGTGGTTACTTCACGCCGGTTTTCTGTAAGGCCGTGGTATCACTCCGGTCGAGCCGACCCATTCGTGCCGAAGCATGGCTCTCACACACTTACAATTTATTAAAAACTAGCTTTTGCCCTCGACTTTGTTCGCGTGGAATAGTGACTTCCTGCAGATTTTTGGTTTAAAAGCTATCCTATGTCCTTTCTCGAATTTAAACTGTGTCTGTGCCGAATTTTATACAAATAAGTTCAGTAATATAGGCGTGAAGAAAATACAGACAGACAGACAAAGTTACTTTCGCATTTATAATATTAGTATAGACTGCTATAGATAGTTTAGATAACAACTTTCTCACGTGAATTAACTGTGAAAAGTTAGGCCTGTGTGCAAGCTTGAGTACTTGCTCATGAATAAGAGTCCCGCTGTGACTTGAAACTAGTCGAGCTTTTCTCACTTAATTCACGTATGACGTAACTAAGTAAATAAATTTAGTATGTCTCACGATAGTTATATATTATTAAAGAATGAGGTTTTATGAAATATTTTTTTTTCTAATTACAATTATTATGTAATTAATTTCAGAACACAATACTTCCTGAAGCTGTGAAGTTTTGGGAGAAAGCATTAAGAGTAAGAAAAACTGGTGGACCCATCAAATTAAATAGGTGAGTTTTTTCTCTATAAGTATAAACAAGAAATTTTTGATTATTTGTTTTTATTGAATGGGCTCTGAAACTGCTTGACCGATATTCGAAAATAATTTTCTGTTAGAAACTACACTATTCCTGGTGAACAATCTATATTAATATAATAAACTGGTAAAATTTGTAAGTTTGTATGTAGGGGTATTCTTTAGAACCGCTGGTCGGTTTGCCAAAATTCTTTCACTGATAGATAGCTACAATGTTCAATGTTTTGCTATAAAACATCACGTTTCGATCAAATGGTGCTGAGCAGCCGGTGAAACTGCGCGAGAGTAGCTATAAAGGAGATTGAAACCACGAGGCACAGCTGGTAAAATAATAGCAAAGAATCATACTTTAGAGCCACAATAGAAGAATATTAGGTACGCGGACGCCCGAGAGATGATCTCCGGCCACCGTAAGCACGGGTCTGCGGTCGGCGAGTAAGGGCAGCTCGCCGCCCGACCAGAACCAGACCCGAGCGTACGGCGCGTAGCGTTCCGCGCGCGCCTCAAAGAGCCAATAGACCACCACAGACGGGGCCCAATAGGGCTGATGTTCAGCCGGGGTTGCGGGGTACGCGCAATGAGGCACCGCGACCTCGGCCCAGAGCAGGAGAAGGAACGGGGGGTTTTTAGTCAGTAAGAGTCTGGCACTCCCTCCCGCCCGGCCCTGGGTCAATCGATGATTTTTCCCTCACCAACAAAAAAAGGTACGCGGTAGGTAAATGCCGGCGTTCGCTTGGGGTTTGATGAATTAAAATACAAGAATTTGGTTTATGTTTCTGTATTTCTATTTACTTATACATAATAATAAATGTACATTAATATGAATCTATATTTAATAGGTACTCACAAATTACACAATGTTTTTAATAATCGAAAATAGTTCTTATTACAATTATAGATAATAATAATTATATTAACTAATATTTTACAAGTAACTTCCAAGTAAATTAAATCTAACGCTTATACTAAAATTAATTAGGTATGTATTTATAATTTTCTAGTAGCTCAACCCTGCTTCACAAGGATGCAATAGTCAAAAAAAGTCGTAAGTAAGTAGAAGTAGACCCTTACAGGCACTTTTGAACGTCAAACAAAATTTTGAAGATATAGTATCAGTCTGTCGGTCAGTCCTCTTAGTAAAGCTATTTGCTCGTTCCAAATGTAGATTCTGATGGAGAAGAACGAGCAAGAAACTCCATGGTTACTCTTTTTAAATCACTTTCACAGACAGATTTCTTTTACAAACAGTTGGTTCAATTATGTGAGAACAGTGTCACACTAATATTTATTCAGTGAAATATAAAAAGAAAATAACCTTAAGGAAGGGTGCACTGCATCATAGGGGTTGGTGGATCTAAAATACCTCGCCAAGGTTGCGGGGTAAGCGCAAATGTACCGCGGCCTCGGCCTAAAGCAGGAGAAGGAACGGGGAGGTTTTTAGTCAGTAAGAGTCTGACACTCCCTCTCGCAGAGCGGGAAAGTCATAAGATAAAAATTAAACTACCTCTCGCCAATGACGCACGACAAGAGTTTCATGTTTTCCAAGATTTCTTCTCTTATTTTAATATAATTATCTTTCAACAAGAACCTTCTCCTGACAATAACAAGCGAATAGGAGAATCATCGAAATCAATTCAGCCGTTCTCGAGATATGCGCTTACAAACCAACATTTTACTGTTCATTTTTATACATACATATTATTATAGAATATTTTTATTCTAAATAGTTTATAAAACTAATTAATCTCTGGTGGAAAAAGTATTATAAGGTATTTCATTACTTCATTATAATATGAAAATTAAAAATTTTTCAGCTTAAAACTATTTTACAGATAGACTATTTAATTAATTCGTTCTCAGTGGTATGATCGGGATAAATAACAGAGTCAATATTAACTTTTCTAATTTATGAAAAATAATTACTTACTAACGTGAAATTAAACGAGGAAAGCTCTACTAGTTTCAATTCAGAACGGGGCTCTTACTCGTGGGCGGCGTGCGCGTCTCGTTGTCGTCTTTTTTTTTTTTGTTATAGTTCGGCAAACGAATAAGTTGATTACCTGATGGTAAGCAATTAGCGCCGCCCATGGACAACCGCAACAACAGAGGAGTTACGACTGTGTCGCTGACTTTTCAGTGATTAGTGATGTGGAGATTTAGGGATAAGAGAGGGAGGGGAGAAGTATTGGGCCTCCGGTAACCTCACTCACACGGCGAAACACAACGCTGTGGTTGTTTCACGCCGGTTTTCTGTGAGGCCGTGGTAAAACTCCAGTCGTGCCGAAGCATGGCTCTCTCAGTGTTTGTGGATTCGTTATTTTCAATTAATTTTGGTATGTCTATCAATAGTAACTATACAAAAAAAAAATACAACATATTCATTTTACACTTCTCAGCTTTTAATACTACGATGTCTAATGTACCTACCTACATACATACATACTTATATCTTAATATTACTTCAACTAAAGATGAACAGACTAGCTTATGTGATATAATTAACCTTTTTACCCACTACAGGAGACACGTAACCGATTTGATTGTTGCAACTCGGACAGTAGTGGTTGTTGTATTTAAAGTAGTCAGTGCAGTAAACGCAGAAAATTGAGAGGGGACTGAAACGGAAAAAGAGAAACAAATGAATGTATATTATTTTGTCTTAAGGCCGATTTTTCAATGGTCAGATAAAAGTTACCTTCGGAATAATTATGATGCTGTCGCGTCAGAATGTTTGTATAAGACAGTGACAGCAACAATTTTAATCCTCAAATAACATTTATCTGGCTATTGAAAAATCAGCCTTTAATGAAAGTAACATTGACTGTACGCTTGGCGTGGTAGCTGATTTCCGTACGGAACAACTCTTTGTGTGATCCATAAATTGTTGTTCCGGGTCTGGGTGTGATGTGTATTTGAAATTGTGTATTTGTAAACGCACCCACGATACAGGACAAAATCCGAGTGCATTTTATGAAACGAAAGAATAATTAATAACTTATCCGGAGATATAAAGGATGTCAAAATTTTCGAAAGACATGTAATCAGGCTTAATATTCAGTCTTAGTCTCAAACCAAACTCGAATGAACATGATCACCAATCTCTGGTGACTTCAAGTTTTTTGTCTGTCTGTTTTGTTAGTGTAAGGACCGTGTGAGACTTGTCGTGCTTTTTTATCACCAGTCATCTGCGTTCTGACAGTTTGAGTACTTGCGCGACCCACCCAAATGTTCTTTTGATCGGTATTGTTCGTCGGACAACTCAACAGCACTAGCTATATGGTTGCAAACTGACACTTGCGTGCCTGTCTTCAGAACGGGTCCACTTAAACTGGTGTGGTTCTTTCCTCAAAAGACCACTACAGAATGAACTTGCACGGTTCTCTCACATTATGTTATTTTATATTGTCTGGACTTGAAAAGAGACTGACCTCTGAGTTTGTTTCGGCATTTCTTCTCAGAGTAGTCAGATAGGAAATGCCGGCTTCATCTAGTTTTTCACATATAATTTGACGTGTAAAAGTGCCGTTTTAAGGCCTATTTGCAAAAATAAATTCATTGTTTCATTGTTTCATAAGTAAGTCTAGCTTTCCTAACATTGTTTTCCTACACCGAATGTCGTTGTCTTTAATTGACATACTTTCATAAAAAGAAAAGCTCCCAGTTTCAATCCCACCTGGAAGCCTTGTCTTGAGTTACATCAAAAAAGATAATTAATTAATACACAACACTCTCAGACCCTGGACAACAATTTGTGGATGGACACGTTGCAAGGCGGTCAAGCTTCCAGTCAAGGCACATGGCACCGCTCAACTGTGCAGTTAAATATCCAAGAAGTCTAGTTGTGTTTAAAAAAACATAAAAGAAATACTTACAACATAAAGAAGAGAACGCAGGCTATAACATGTGTCAAGGGCCCATTTTCCTTGACGACCAGCGTATGCACTCTAGAACCACAATGGTGGCAGATCAGGTTCTTCCGTTCATAGTTCATCGCTGATAGAGGAAGATTTGTCACTGGACTGGAGTAATCTGAAATGAAAATTAGGGTACACGTTAAAAAATTGGCTAAAAATGCGTTGGCAAAAATCGGCACCGTCCATTGGTGGAAGGATTGGGTCTTCCGCACACGTACACATACTTCACACGACGAAACAACGCTGTGGTTGTTTCACGCCAGTTTTCTGTGAGGCCGTGGTATTGCTCAGATCGAGCCGAACCATAACTCTCCCACAGTTAGCACAAAACTTACACACTAGAACTCTCCTCCTGTGTGGCCGATGCATATATAAACACACAATTCCATATAGATATCACGAGTCTGAAAATTACAAGAATTGCTCAAAAACTTCAAAAACTTACTTGAAGTGATAACCTGCGTCATAGGTGCAGGAGAATACACCGGTTCTCTCCTTACAGACTCCACTCGTAAAGGTTCCAGAATGGGTTCTCTGGGCGTCTCTCTAGCAGGCTCTCTCGTTGGAGACGGAGATTGAGCAACAGCAGTCTCCGTATAAGCTGGAGGCGGCTCTGGAAACTCCGAAATGGGAATGGGTGATAAAGGAAAGCCATCTGAAGTATTCCCCCCATATACTTGACTCTCCTTAGCCAAAAAACTTGGCATTAGTGGAGTTTGCCTTGATGATGAAGAGCCTGGCGTCTCTGCACCTGAAATAGGAAATATTAGCTTTTAATATCATGAGGTTACACAAGTACGTGTGTCGCCTGGGCAGTCACCGCTACCATAAGTTGACTGGACAATCTCTTTACATGAGCTGCTGTTTATATGTATTGTGAACATTAGCTCATGACGATACCTAAGTACATGTGTCGCCTGGACCGTCACCGCTACCATCAGTTGACTGGACAATCTCTTTACATGAGCTGCTGTTTACATGTGAACAATAGCTCATGACGATACCTAAGTACGTGTGTCGCCTGGACCGTCACCGCTACCATCAATTGACTGGACAATCTCTTTACACGAGCAGCTGTTTACTTACTTGAGCTAGCTCCAGCTAGATTCAAGGTGTTCGGCCTAACAGCCTGATGATGTAATGAACTTGAAGATCCTGACTCGGAAGACGCTCCAGATCTTGTTTCATCTTTCACAACGTCAATTCTTCGGTTTTCAAACGGATCGTACATGATTGTGTCCTGAAATCAACATGTAGAAAACCTATTAATCTTTGAAGAACATTGAGTACATGCAAAGTTTATGCAGTATATTCTGATCAGAAACACGAAAATGCCCATTTTCTGGGGGATAATCATCAAGCAACTTCTACTGCCCTGGGTGGAGTGTCAGACTCTTACTGACTAAAAACCACCCCGTTACATTATTGCGCTTGACCAGCAGCCCCGACTGAACGTCAGCCCTATAGGACCCCACCTGTGGTGGTCTTCCGTAAAGAGGACTAAGAAGGAATATTATCTTCTTTCCTAGCCTGGTTTGGTTGATTCGTGTAGACTGATCGAAATTTAAACCAAGTTACTTGTCGACAGCTCCTCATATCTTCATCAAATTCAAACTATAAGACATCCTACCAAAGCCTTCTTCCTTCATTGAATTCTCTTCTAATTTTTTATCTAAAACAACATTTACCTGTACGAATTCCGGCTCATTATCAGTAGGGGTGACGATGCTCTGTGATACTTCGCTGCCAGCTTCAGGCATATCGATGTAGACCACTGGGGTCTCATCGATGTCCCGTTTGGTGGCCTCTGCATTCCCTGATGTGTTGGGTCTTGTGGGCGTCTGAAATGTGACAAAAGTTGGTGCTTAGATTAATTAGAATTTGTATCTAGTTTTCTGCTTCTAACTGCTATTTGATCAACAATATGAACAGCATCATGGATTCCTCTATGCAAGAGAGATTTGATATTACATGCTCACTTTCTACTCGAGCTGTACATCAGTTTAAAAAGTTTTTTTTTGTGTTTTGAGGGGGTATTATTATCAAATTTAGGTGAGAGGGAGTGTCAGACTCACAGTTCTCTTGCTCCAGGCTGAGGGCACAGTATATAATTGCACTCGCACCTTCTTTTGTAAGAGGAAAATCCTCAAATGACTTCTCTTGTCCAGGGTAATGCGAGAAGGTGTGCAAAACTCTTACTGACTTATAACCGCCTCATTCCTTCGCCTGCTCTAGGCCGAGGCCGCGGTACCTTATTGCGCTTACCTCGCAGCCCCGGCTCAACATCGGCTCTGGTGGAGTGGGCCTGTCTGTGATAGTCTGGAGGCTCTTAAGTACATACCTGAGGACTAGTAGATCCATAGCTCGTGCCGGCTCTGGGTCCATCAGTCTGTAATGGTCTTCGTGGTAGGTTGGCCCATCTCGCTGCTGTTTGAGGGTCAACTGTAGGAACATCTGTTACTATGGGGTTCACGTATGGGTATCCTTGGTATCGAGGGTAGGGGTTGCTCGCTTGGCTTGGGGGCTGGACTATCTGTAATCGGAAAAAAATAGTACTATAGTATAGCAAATACCATAAAGATTGTTTGTTTTTACGCCAAATTAATTATGGACACACAAAGACAAAGGTTCGGCACAGAGTTTTTTTATTATGAGATAGGGTGGCTGAGGAGCTAACGGGTCACGTTCAGGTCCGGAAGAGCTCTGCTTCGGCGCAAATTGGCTGACTTGAACAGATAGTGATACTGTGTGTGAACACGGCCTCACAGAAAACCGACGTGTAACAACAGCAGCTGTATGTTTCGCCGTTTAAGTGAAGTTACCGGAGGCCTTCCTTCACCTCCTTCGAGACACTAGTTCTAAAAAGGCCGATAACGCCCTTGTTTGTTGCTAGTGTCCATTTCCGCTGATTGCTTACTATCAGGTAATCCGTCTGCTCGTTTGCTTACCATATAAGAAAAGCAATCTTGCAAGTTACAAGTACATAGGTCTTTGGGTTGGGTGGACAGTTTTGGGGATCAGGAATGGAGGCGAGGATAGGGATTCCAGAAACTGACTAGGTATCGCTCCGGTTGAGTTAGTTTATTTCTGTCAAAGCATGCGCTTCAACACTCATAGGCTACTAGCTTTTGCCCGCGACTTCGTTCGCGTGGAAAAGTGACTTGTTGCAGATTTAAGGTATAAAAACTATCCTATGTCCTTTCTCGAGTTCCAATCTATGTCTGTACCAAATTTCACAAAAATCGGTTCAGTACTTTAGGCGTGAAGAAAAGACAGACAGACATGCAGACAGAGTTACTTTCGCATTTATAATATTAGTTCGGATACTGGTCAATATCGATTATTAGGTTTTAAACAATCGCACATCCATCTCGTCCCATTTGATTCCTGCATTATTTGATAGTGCAAACCATATGGCCACAATTTACTTAAATATGCTTTTGTTGTTATCGTTATTTAGAAATAGATGGAACAAACATGTATTTGTATTAGGAAGTCTGCCAAAATTTCGAGTGTTTCTATAGATTGAATGGCGAATTCTATACTCGGAATTTTAATTCCATTCCAGATTTGACAATTTCAGTGTTTCAGTTATTCAGAAGTCGGTCAAGTTTATTGAGGAGATCTGCATTCAGGTCATAGTAACAAACATCAGCATAATCTATTATAGGGAACAACAAGGCCTGCACAAGCATCGACTTGGTGACGGACGGAAGCAAGTTTTTCACGCGAAATATGTTAATTTTATTGTCAATTAACATATCTAGCTTATTCATTTTTTCCTCTTCTTTGACAACATGGGATACGCATTTAGACCATTCGGTAGCCGTAATTTTTTTAATGTCTTCCTGAAACTGATTCACTGATTGTTTATCGATTTTTGTGTTAATTACTACACTGTTATATGTGGTATCATTATTTCACAAAATGACAGTAGGTCATGTCAAATCAGGAATCGAATTATAATTCTGACTATAGGTTTTAATGTATACGACAAGATGTTGGATGCCTCGTCGCTCGATTGGCTGGAAGACCAGCTGGCGAGCAAGGAGTTTTATTCTGTTTTTTTAAAACTTAAGACACCAATTCGTTAAATCCCTTTTAGATGGAACTGACTTTTACAATCTTAACGTAACTGGTGAAAAGCGGTTCTCTCTTTCTCTCTCCACCCCTCTCTATATCTCTCTCTAAGTGATAGGGTGCCAATCGAGCTCTTGCTGTAAGAAATCAGTGCAGGTCATGGACTTGCACAATTCGCCATAGGAATTGCAAGTACGTTACCGGTCTTCTGAGGGTTATGAGGATCAGGGAGAATCAGGTCTCCGGTTGTAGCCATTTTTGTTTTTAAGTGATTCTCTGTTTATTCGTTACTAGCTACTCTCTTGCGGTTTCTCCCGCTGCTCGGCTCCATTTAATCCTAGCGTGATGTTTTATAGCCTATAGCACTCAGGAACATTGTAGCTACTTATCAGTGAAAGAATTTTGGCAATCCAACCAGCGGTTCCAAAGATTACCCCCTACATAGAAACTTTAAAATGTTACCTCTTTATAATATTAGTATAGATAAAGTGTTGCACTTACCGTGACTGTTTGTGCATCGACAGTCGGTATTTCGGTGACGATTGGTCTCACGTATGGGTAGCCCTGATACCCTTGATAGGTACCACCTACGCTTGACGACTGCATGTCCTGGAAAATACAATTACCATATATTTAAGTTGGCGCGATGACTGGGCAACCTTGCGGATTCGGTTCCCTTGCGTAACAACCCTTTGTGTGACCCACAAATTGTTGTTCCGGGTCTGGGTGTAATGTGTATGTGACATTGTATGTTTGTAAACGCACCCAGAAAGAAAGAAAGAAATAAAAAAAAAACATTTATTAACGCGAAAGACGCAAAAGCAACAAAACAAACAAGTAAAACTAAAGACGACACAACAATTTAAACATTTAAATAGGCTGCAGTTGCGTCACTCTGCGAAAAGGGGACAGCGATCAGCATATATGCTGTGCCTCGCGCACGCAAGGCACGAGACGACAGCGCTGGTTTTCAGCGCTGACGCGCATGTCTCTGACTCGGAAATTTAATAAGTTCCGAGACAATCCTGGACATGTTTAACCCCCGACACAGGGAAATGTTAAAATGGAGTAAAGTTTATAGGAACAAAAATTATCAGCCTAAAAGTGTCTACTGCTGAGCAAAGGCCTCTTCTCACACGGAGAATATTTAAGCTTTATTCCCACACTTGCTCAAGGCGGCTTGGCGATTTCAAACTTATAATTTCCTAACTATGTTTTTTTTATGGTATAAGTCGGCAAACGAGCTGACGGATTACCTGATGGTAAGCAATCAGCGCCGCCCATGGACACCCGCAACAACAAAGGAGTTACGAGTGCCTTGCCGGCCTTCTGGGGATAGGTTGCGGATATAAGGATTGGGGAGAAAACGGGGAAGGGGAGGGATTGGGCCTCCGGTAACCTCACTCACGCGGCGAAACACAACGCTGTGGGTTGTTTCACGCCGGTATTCTGTGAGGCCGTGGTATCACTCCGGTCGAGCCGACCCATTCGTGCACTTAAAAGTGTCCCGAAGCAACCGTGGTGATTAATGCTTAAATCTTTTCCCGAGAAGAGGCCTTTGCTCAGCAGTGGGCACTTATACGCTGATAATGATGAACCGGAAAATTGCGTATAACGCCAACAGTATTTAATACAAAACACCCATTAATTAGTTTCGTGATGTTTATCACAGAAAACAGAACATTCTGTTTTTGTTATCACGTCCATTATCTGTATACATATAAGTCTATCAAAACTTTAATAGGCTATGATTATATGATTAATGACAATAAAAATACGTTTAAATGAAAATACGGTACATATTCAGTGCTAGGACTTGTATAGTTTTTATGGTACTAACGGACCGTCCTTGTTTTGTTCGGTTACCCAACGCTTTTCCCAATTTAACCCTCTCTTTTTTCATTTATATATTCTATACTAATATTGTAAAGAGGTAATATTTGTGAGTTTGTATGTAGGGGGGTAATCTTTGGAACCGCTGGTCGGATTGCCAAAATTCTTTCACTGATACTACAGCTACAATGTTCCTGAGTCCTATAGGCTATAAAACATCACACTACGATCAAATGGAGTCGAGCAGCAGGTGAAACCGCGCAAAAATCCTTACTCCTGACAAAAAAAAGGGAGCAAAATTAGTCCAGGCGTTTTTGAGTTATGCGCCTACAAACACTTTTTGCTTTTCATTTTTGTATTAGTACTAGCTACTCTCACACGGTTTTACCCGCTGCTCGGTTCCATTTGATCGTAGCGCGATGTTTTAGCCTATAGCACTCAGGAACATTGTAGCTATCTATCAGTGAAAGAATTTTGGCAATCCGACCAGCGGTACCAAAGCTTACCCCCCACATACAAACTTACTAACTTACAAATTTTACCTCTTTATAATATTAGTACACATAAGTTATAAAGTCGCCTATCCGTCGTTAATAATGCTCTAACCTTATCCGTGTGAGAAAGGCCTTTGCTCAGCAGTGGGCACTTATAAGCTGATGATGATGATGATGGGAGGAAAACTAGTAGAAAACCCATCAAAAGATACCTGACCCAGATATCGAATTCGTGTTAAAGACGATAAATACAAGAACTATTAATCTTAAAAACACAAATAAGGAAAAAACTTTAAATTTTCATGCAAATCGTTGTATTTATCAAGATAATTGTTGTCTATATAAATAGAATATTTTATGATTCATTGACGACTGATACTTTGATGAACCTCTGTTTGTGAGAAATCTAAATATAGACAGACATACCTACGTTGATAATAAGTGTGATAATATAATAATAATAATTTACCGGCTCACTTAACTCGAATAGTTTCAAGTCACGGCAGGGCTTCAAACAATATGTCTCACGAAAGTTTTCGCGTTAACACGAAAAAAGTGATATGATTATTTGGCAACGAAAATCTAAAAATACATCAATTAAATAGATCTGCAAACAAGCAAACGGATTACCTGATGGTAAGCAATCGGCGCCGCCCATGGACACTTGTAATACCAAAGAAGTTACCAAAAGTGCGTAGGCTTGTGGTTATTAGGGATTTAAGGATAGGGGATTTGAGATGATAGGGGACGGGATTGACATTTCATTGATGGATTTATCATTTATTTCAAATATAGCACTATAGGCACTTTTGAACGTCAAACAAAAGAAAATAATATCGAAAAAATCTACAGCGTCTTTACATCTGTCTTCTAGTAAAGCTATTGGCGTATATACGTACTTATATGGTACTCAGGGCAGAAGAAGCCATTTGACCATTGAAGCACCCTTTTTGTTAGGGGAAAATCATAAAATGACTTGACTTGACTTGATGGGCGAAAGGGAGTGTAAGATCCTTACTGACTAAAAAACCCCCCGTTCCTTCTCCTGCTTTTTTAGACCGAGGCCTCGGTGACTTATTGCGCTTGGCCCGGCTGTCATCTAAGTTTCTGAAGAAAAACCTGCAGCATGACAACTGATGGCGTATGGGCCTCTTCTTAAAGTAAAAGAATACGGTAGTTTCCAACTAGTCAAATTCAATACTTTTATCCAAACGTCAAAAACGATACTTTTCCATGAAGTTCGTATGAAAAACTGAGTTATGACGTCATAACATTTTTGCGTAACTAACTAAATAGCTTACTTATTTAGTATAGAAAACATAGTATAGTTGTTTTTCAATATTTTATTGTATTAAAATGTTGAATTAATTTATTTTTGACCTAGGAAACCACACATTGCACATTTGATGATTTTCCCCGTACGAAAAAGGTTAAAACTCGTCTAGATTTACTTGTGACATTTCACACATCGAAGTCTTTGTAAATAAACTTGAAAAATACGTTGACGTTTAACTTAGAAAAACCCAATTATTCTCCGTTGAGAAATAATATAATAGGTATTTTAAAATTACAATTCTACCCGTAAGAAATTTGAAAGATTACTTTATGAAGCCCTGATTCATATTATCAATACTTTACTGTATTACGGGATTTAAGGCAGGGTTACACCTGCCTTAGTCACAAGCAGACTAGGTCCTGGTTCTTTAGATTTTTTTATGATTTTTGGTGGAGAGGGGAAGGGGCGGTCGTCGGCCGACATTTCTTGCCCTGGTTGTCAACTATTAAATTAGTAATCCCTTGCATGTCCGACTTATTTCATGTATACGCTTGTTTTACAAATAAATTATCATTTTTTCTTTCTTTCTTTCAAAGAAGAGAGTATCAGGCTCTTTCTGCATGTTTACTTTTTATCAAATAGGTCAATAAGTCGCGGAAATTTTCCATAGTGTATGTTGATGACTGGACTTTTTCCAGTTTTGTACCTATTCTGTCTCCTGCATTAACTGTTTCATTGCGTTGTTTAATTTCTTAAACTTAAGTGTGGAGAGCTGAGCTTCGGCACGAATGGGCCGGCTCGACCGGGGTGATACCACGGCTTCACAGAAAATCAGCGTGAAGCAACACTTACGTTGTATTTCGCCGTATGAGTGAGGTTACCGGAACCCCAATCCTTCCCCCTCCCACCCACAATCCTCAAATCCCCTATCCTTTAATCCCTAATAACCCACAAGAGGCTAGCAAAGCACTTGTAGTAAATCCTTTCGTATTATGCGCGTCCAAGGGCGACGTTAATTGCTTACCACCAGGTCATCCGTCTGCTCGTTTTCTCCCTTAAATAATATCTTCTCCTTTAATCCTCCTTGGATTGGACTCACCAAAACTTCTATGTTTCGGTGTTTTCAAGGTCATATCTACTGCTGTAGATCCTGATTAACAGGATTGACACTGATTTTGGGAGGTTATAGCGGGCTGGTCCCAAAAATCCTATCTCTCAACATTCGTCTTTGACGGATAAGAAGTGTAACACATACTTATTCTTCTTTTTTAAATAACATTGCCCCACACCACCAGTGTGATTCTGTAAGACTTCATTCTAAACATCGAATCTGAATCCGCCGTGAGTACCTAGTACACTAGCGTTACACTTGCGAGTTGAACTAAATTGACCGCAACATTTTGATAGATAAAGTATGAGATGACGTTAAAAGTGGCATTCTAAAATTTAATTTCCCCGTCACTTCGACGCTCACTTCGCACTCGAACACGATTCAAAATCAAACAAATTTTATAGAATCGACGTGCAGGATTTTCTCTTATGTCGTGGGTGTGTTTACAAACATACAATGTCACATACACATCACACCCAGACCCGGAACAACAATTTGTAAATCACACAAAGAGTTGTTCCTAAAAAATTTAACTATGTTAATGGAAATGCTAGCATAACATAGAATATATTATGTATTAAATAAATAAACCTTTTGTAATCGGTGAACGCACTCTCAATGACTGATTAGTTGAAGGTGAAGATATGATCTTAAACCCACAAACGTGCGTGACGATACCTAAGTACGTGTGTCGCCTGGACAGTCACCGCTACCATCAGTTGACTGGACAATCTCTTTACATGAGCTGCTGTTTACATGTGAACATTAGCTCATGACGATACCTAAGTACGTGTGTCGCCTGGATAGTCACCGCTACCATCAGTTGACTGGACAATCTCTTTACATGAGCTGCTGTTTACATGTGAACATTAGCTCATGACGATACCTAAGTACGTGTGTCGCCTGGACAGTCACCGCTACCATCAGTTGACTGGACAATCTCTTTACATGAGCTACTGTTTACATGTGAACATTAGCTCATGACGATACCTAAGTACGTGTGTCGCCTGGACAGTCACCGCTACCACCAGTTGATTGGACAATCTCTTTACATGAGCTGCTGTTTACATGTGAACATTAGGTCATGACGATACCTAAGTACGTGTGTCGCCTGGACAGTCACCGCTACCATCAGTTGATTGGACAATCTCTTTACTTGAGCTGCTGTTTACATGTGAACATTAGCTCATGACGATACCTAAGTACGTGTGTCGCCTGGACAGTCACCGCTACCATCAGTTGATTGGACAATCTCTTTACATGAGCTGCTGTTTACATGTGAACATTAGGTCATGACGATACCTAAGTACGTGTGTCGCCTGGACAGTCACCGCCACCATCAGTTGACTGGACAATCTCTTTACATGAGCTGCTGTTTACATGTGAACATTAGGTCATGACGATACCTAAGTACGTATGTCGCCTGGACAGTCACCGCTACCATCAGTTGACTGGACAATCTCTTTACATGAGCTGCTGTTTACATGTGAACATTAGCTCATGACGATACCTAAGTACGTGTGTCGCCTGGACAGTCACCGCTACCATCAGTTGACTGGACAATCTCTTTACATGAGCTGCTGTTTACATGTGAACATTAGCTCATGACGATACCTAAGTACGTGTGTCGCCTGAACAGTCACCGCTACCATCAGTTGACTGGACAATCTCTTTACACGAGCTGCTGTTTACAGGTGACATAAGACATGTAAATCCAAATATTAAGAATTAAAATTACAACGTCGTAACTCTTAATTAATGGCACTAAATAGGAATAATTCTTTCAAAAATATCAATTAATCAACGAATCCTAGGGCAGTTCCCTAGTATGTCTAATAGTTCTTAAGAAAAATTTACTTACACAACTTTGTGCAAATCTGTCAAGTTCATTTTGACAGCATTGACGTTCATTTATGTAAAGACAAAAAAATACTTACGTTATTCGGGTTTTGCCAACGAAATCACTTTTAAAACTAAACTATTTTAGCACTACAGTCTTAATAAATTACTAGGGTACACTTTCAAACAGTATTTTGAATTCACTAACAAGTTTTTTCACTTTTAAATAACAGTTTTTTTCATGTAAACGTATATTTTTTTCTCGCCGCGGCCATTTTGTTTCTGGTCCGTAATACAAATGAATTGTTATCAACTGAAAGATAAGATAAATAATACGATTTTACTTCGCAAATATTATCTTCAAGTATTGTTACGTAGTATCTATATGTCTATATATTTTGTTTGTCTCTTTGGCTTGTATTCTTTTGTTTCTGTCTTTTGACGTTGTGAGGGAGAATCGTGAATCGTGATGAAACATATCTCTACGCACGCACGGAGTTTTTTGCTCGTTCTTCTCCATACGAATTTGCATTTGAAACTGAACTATTTTTTTTATAACGTAATGGGGAAACATTTGGAAGACGCTTAGCTTTTTTGAGGAAAAAGGAAGAAAGAAAATTCATTTATTTAATACTGGACATGCCGCACCGAAATACGTCCAATATGTAGGTACATATAATATTGTAGGTAAACATAAGTAACAAAAATTGTAAAAAGAAGTACTTAGAGCTAAGAAAAAGTGTTAAATAAGATTGAATCTAACATGACAAGATGGGACCATGCCCATCCTGAAATAGCCTGTTCCGGGTCCCTAAAGAATAACTTTAAATTTTTTTACGGGATAGGTCGACAACGAGCAGATTTACCTCGGAATCGACACCAGTAATATCCGTTTCGGTTCCGGTTTTTCTTATAGGGAAAAATCATTACCTGACTTTTCCCACCCAAGATGAAGCGAGAGAAAGTGTCAGACTCTTACTGACTAAAAACCCCTCCGTTCCTTCTCCTGCTCTAGGTACCCCGCAGCCCCGGCTGAGCATCAGCCCTATAGAGCCCCGTTTGTGGTGGTCTATTGGCTCTTTGAAGCGCGCGCGGAACGCTACGCGCCGTACGCTCGGGTCTGGTTTTGGTCGGGCAGTGGGCTACCCTTACTCGCTGGTCCTTTCCAGACCCAGATTAAGAGTATGGGGTCTTACCGCTGCTATAACATAGTGCCCGAAAATCCGTTCTGTTGCGTAAAAGATTTAAACATAAATAGGGACAGGGAAAGCTACTTTGTTTTATACTATGTAGTGATATACTATTTTGCGAAGATTCTGAGCAGCAAAATGTATTCCGTGGCATAGCAAAAAGCTCAAATGTGATTTAGCGAACAGTTGGTGTTACATTTTTATTATCTGATAACCGATTCGGAGAAAGATTGCTGACCATTATATACTACACTAGCTACTCTCGGGCGGTTTCACCGGCTGCTCGGCTCCATTTAATCGTAGCGTGATGTTTTATAGCCTATAGCACTCAGGAAAATTGTAGCTGTCTATCAGTGAAAGAATTTTGGCAATCCGATCAGCGGTTCCAAAGATTACCTAGGGAGTAATCATATCAATTCAACAACATCATACAAACTTACAAATTTTACCTCTTTATAATATTAGTATAGATAGGTCCTACATCCTTTTTTATTATTTTAGTTCCTAAGCTAACATTGTTGTATTAGTTTGTTATTTACCTTTTTTTTATTGTAATTATTGTACATATCTTTGTTTTTTTTTCCCTAATTATTCATGCCAAATAAATTATTTTTCTTTCTTTCTTTCTTTCTTTCTTTATCCTTCTTGGTCCAGTAAGACAATCTAATATATTTTATGTGTGAATGGCTTATGGCGTTGGGTGAAACGAGTCGACCAATCGCCTGATGGTAAGCAATCGGCGTCGTCCATGCAACACCAGGGAAGTTATAAGTGCGTTGTCGATTTTTTTGAATTGGGTTCGTGTTTTGTAAGTTTAGGGATTGAAAAGGGATGGGATTGAGGAAGAATTTGAGTCAGGTAACTGTACTCATACCCCGCGAAATACAACGCTGTTTTTCACGCCAGTCTTATGCTAGCTAGACTTTAGTATCACTTCGGTTCAGCCGACCGGACAGATACCACGGCTCATATAATAGCGTCGTAAAACAACACTAATATTGTGTTTCGCCGTGTAAGTGTTGGCGAAGGCCCCATCCTTCCCCTACCCCATTCCTTCCCAATCCCTAAATATCCGACACCCCAACCCCAACCTACATATCTCCAAAAGTCTGGCAACGCACTCGTAATTATTCTGTAGCGGGTTTCCATGGTCGTCGCAGATGCTTACCATCCAATCAATAAGCTCATTTGCAGATTTATCAAATAAAGAAACTCTAATTACCTTTAATTCGGAAGTAGAATTTTATTGTAGCTAGTCTAGAAAAAACGACACGAAAAAATTTGTACTCGTGACGTCCATTATGGACCTGATAAGGATAGGTAATCTTATCGCTTCCTTTATCTGTATTCAAAATATTCAGTGCTTATCCGTGATATGTAATATTCGTTGTGTACCTAGATTTTTAATCTAGATTTCCTATAGAACTGTGTGAATATATTTGCACCCGCCTCCTTTGTTGTGTCGTAAAAGACGAAGGTCCTTAGCTCATTAGAACCACCCTTAAAACTGCACGAAGTCCGCTCGTAGATGACTGGTAGTCCACCGGTTCCGGAGACGATCTTCGGCCATCGTAAGTGCGGGTTTGCGGACGGGGAGTAAGGGTGGCGCCCGACCAGAACCAGACCCGAGCGTACGGCACGTAGCGTTCCGCGCGCGCCTTAAAGAGCCAATAGACCACCACAGACGGGGCCCTATAGGGCTGATGTTCAGCCGGGGTTGCTGGGTAAAAGCAATGCGTCACCACGGCCTTGACCCAGAGCAGGAGAAGGGACGGGGGTGTTTTTAGTCAGTTGAGTGTAATAATAGCTTATGTATCTGAAAAGAATCGATTCTTTATTTTCTTACTTGTAACTTTGCTAAATAACTGTATAGTCTACTAGGTTAGGTCGCTAAGATTTGTTTTTCAATTTCTCAACGTACAAACCTTTTCTGGACTTCCGCCAATAATTTAAGACCAAAATTACCCAAATTGGTAAAGGCATTGTTGAGTTATAACATTACAAAGAAAAGTGGTATTGATTTATATATATATAGAAGATACGCCTCCTTCACCTTATTACATAAAAAAACAGACAAAACTCAATAAAGCTAACAACATCCCTTTATAAATAAATATACGAACATCTTACCTACATTAAATCTATAAATTTACTTACACAAGTACCTCTTAAGTGTTTGTTTGATAAAAATAACTGAATTTATGTCGAACTACCTTTTGCCGGCGACTTCGTTCGCGAGGAATAGTGACTTCCTCAGATTTTTGGTGTAAAAACTATCCTATGTCCTTTCTGGAATTCCAAACTATGTCTGTACCAAATTTCACAGAAATCTGTTCAGTAGTTTAGGCGTGAAGAAAAGGCAGACAGACAGAGTTACTTTCGCATTTATAATATTAGTTTGGACTAGTACCTGCCTCTGTTTTGCGTCGCTTCGTTTCCTCATAAGCATTTTTTATGCGATTAGTCAGTAAATGAGTAGGATTACCTGATGGTAAGCAATCAGCGCCGCCCATGGACACTCGTGATACCAAAGAAGTTACTAGAAGTGCGTTGTCGGCCTTTTTTAGGCTATGAAGTATTTGAGGATTTGGAAATTGATAGGAAGGATTGGGCCTCCGGTAACATCATTCACACGGCGAAACACAAGGTAAAAGTTTTTTCAGTGAGGCTGCGGTATCACTCCGATCGAGCTGGCCCATTCCCATAAAAGCATGGCTGTCTCATCCTGGTTTTTCTTTAGCTTTCTCTGTCCCTATGCCTATGCTTAAATCTTCAAAACTACGCAACAGAATTTGATGCAGTTTTTTTTAATATATATATTATCCATTAAATAGTGTAGAAATTTGTGCGTGCGTAGCCGGGACGGGTCGCTACTATCTTATAATAAACAGAGAAAAAAAATACATAAAGAAAAAATAACATAAAAATTTTAAATAGTAATAATCAAAAAGATTGTGTGTCAGTCTGTCGGTTATCTAGTGAAGTTATTTGCTCGTTCTAAAGTGTAGATTCCAATGGAGAAGAACGAATAAGAAACTCCATGGTGACCCTTTTTCAATCAACTCCTCTCATACATTTTAGTGAATTCATGTCAAAGGTAGACTAAACAAAACCTACCAGGACACTTTTTTAATAAACAAATTAACAAACGCACGATGACCGGGCAGTTTAAAAACGATACCTATCAACATTTTTGAATGATAAAAAAGTTATTGTGTGCCTTATCTGTCTAGATATAAATTAAGTATTGTACTAACTGATAAATATTTAATTTAATTAGGTTTTCTGAACTAGATTCATGTTTGTAGGTAGGAAGGTAGGAAGGCACTGCTGCGGCCTAGAGCAGGACAACAAACAGGCTGGTTTTTAGTCAATAAGAGTCTGACACTCCCTCTCGCCATACGATAGGCGTGGGAACCAATTTGACGATTTCGTACCCTCAAAAACAACGCAGACGGATCGCCAGGCCATGGTGTTCAGCAAGAGGAGCTAGGAAGCCGTCTCCTCTTTCTGCAAATCAGTGATGCTCGCAAAGGAGGACGCGAAGTGCGTATGGCGTATAGCGTTCCGCGTGCGATTCAAAGAGCCAATAGACAACTACAGACGGGGCCTATAGGGATGATGATCAGCCGGGGTTGCGGGGTAAGCGCAATGAGGCACCGCGACCTCGGCCCAGAGCAGGAGAAGGAACAGGGAGGTTTTTAGTCAGTAAGAGTCTGACACTCCCTCTCGCCTCACCAGCGTCAAGACATTTGATGATTTTATATACTCAAAAAAGACACCGACGGATTACCTGATGGTAAGCAATCTGTGCCGCCCATGGACACTCGCAACACGAGGAAGTTACAACAGGGTTACCGGCCGTTAAGAAGCGAGGGATTGGATCTCCAGTAACCAGTGTATCAATGAAAATAATGACTTATTCACGACCAAAATTCGCAAATCGAGAATAATTTATAGCCTATAGCACTCAGGAACATTATAGCTATGTATCAGTGAAAGAATTTTGGCAATTCGACCAGCGAGCGGTTCCAAAGATTACCCCCTACATATAAACCCCCTAAATATAATATTAGTATACAAACGAAATTTATTAATTTGTCTTTGGTTTCAGGAAATGTCCAACGCGTCAAGTGTTCGTTCGGGATGGAAGGACCCATTGCATAGACCAGTGCAATGCTGAGACCATGTGCGGGGAAGTTAAGGTTCCCGAGGAACATTTAAATGTAAGTACCACATTTTTGATGATGAGGGGAAACGTTTAAGTATGGAAGAGACTTGCTTCGGCACGAATGGGTCGGCTCGACCGGAGTGTTACAACGACCTCACAGAAAATCGACGTAAAACAACCACAGCGTTGTGTTTCGCCGTGTGAGTGAGGTTACCGGAGTTCCAATCCCTAAATCTTGAAGACCCATTAGGGTCTAGAGCCCTTAATGGCTGGCAACGTACTCGTAACTCCTCTAAGCTGCGTTGATTGTTTACCATCAGGTAATCCGAATGTTCGTTTGCCGTACTATTACATAAAGAAATCTGAAACAACAATGATAATGCTCAGGACAGATCCAAAATAGGTTGGAAAAAGACCACATTTATGCTATTGGACGGATAACGAATGATCTGATCACCTGATGGTAAGCGATTGGAAAAGACTACATCTATCTATACTAATATTATAAAGGGGTTAAATTAGTAAGTTTGTATGTAGGGGGTTGCACGGTTGGTGCGGTGGCTGGGCAACTGGCTGCCGTGCAACGTGTCGCGGGTTCGATTCCCGCACGGAACAACACTTTGTGTGATCCACAAATTGTTGTTTCGGGTCTGGGTGTCATGTGTATGTGACATTGTATGTTTGTAAACGCACCCACAACACAGGAGAAAATCCTAAAGTGGGGCAACGTTTTTAAAAAAAAAAAAAAAAAAAAAAAAAAAAAAAAAAAAAAAAAAAGGGGGTAATCTTTGGAACCGCTTGTCGATGTGCCGATTGCCAAAATTCTTTCACTGATAGGTAGCTACAAAGTTCCTGAGTGCTATAGGCTATAAAACATCACGCTTGGAGCAGCAACAGCGGGTGAAACCGCGCGAGAGTACCTAGTTAAAGATATGAAAGTGCATTGCCGGTCTTTTTGGGGTTAAAGATTTGATGATGGGAATGGGGGGGTCATCTAAAACCTCACTCACACTGATATACACAATGCAAACGTTGCTTTATACTATGTTGCGGAATGCTCCTCTCCGATGGAAGTTGCCCTTTCGTGTCGAAGCGTGGTTTTTTCACACTAAAACGGAATTATACATTCAACAAGTTTACGAAACAAAACCGAACGAAAAACATCTTCAAAACAAAATGAAAAGGACGCACTAAAACCAAAAATTTATTCCGAAACAAATGCAATTTATCGTTCTGTTTGTGCTTTGCCTGTCTGGGGCAATTCTTTTTCCCACCAATTTTTCTGATTTGAACTCCTTCGGGGTATAAGCAAAGACATAGGACCGCTGGTCGCCAGTAGACCTGCCCTTTTAAAATCATACTGATCAAATTCTTTAACTTTGGCCTTGCTCGTTGTCTTTTCAGTTTTCAGATCTCCTTTTTGAACACTTTCTTCTTCAGGGATTGTACTGTTATTGGCAGTAAAATTTCCAATTTCATTATCTTCGACAGAAGTCAACTGCGATAAAAATCTAAATGACTGATGTTTAGATTTCTTTTTTGCTTTCGCAGTACCGTCAATTGCATTCAATTTTTTTATAGATTTGTTTTTGGTCTTTGCTTTTGGATCGCTTCCATTGTTTTTTGTCCCTCTTTCGATTGGTCTAGCTTCAACTTTTTTGCCGTTAATATACCTACTCCGACCACCAAAATGATTTATTATAACACCCTTTTGATTATGACGACTTTGTTTTACTGGTTTTCTCTCTTTAGATAACTCGAAAGAACCTGATCCTGTTTTATGCTTTTCGACTTTTACTTCCGTTGACTTCGAAGCATCTTGTGCAGCGCTCTCCAAGCCATATCTTTGTATATTGTATTTATTATTTTCTTCGGAAACTTCACGAGAATCTTGTGAATCAGGCGCCACTACACTGTTTTTCTCCTTCTGTTCTGCAGCATTCATCATATTTTGCGTCGCTTTCGCTATGAAATCTGATATTTTATCTGCTAATGAATCGGAGACGAATTTTCTTGCTAGATTTTTCACATCGTCCATATTGGCTGTTAGTAAAACGAATGCATTGGTTATGTGCGTCAGTAATAGAAGGTTTATACCTGAAACAAATAAGATGTGATTGATAAGCTGCCGTATTTTCTTGTAAGTTTCCATTCTGGTACGGGCAATCGATAGTCTAAGGTGAATTTATTGAGGTGGAGGGACAATATCAGCTGTATGTTTGGTAGTGTTATTTATGTGATAGGTCGGCAAATGAGCAGACAGATTACCTGATGGTAAGCAATCTGCGCCGCCCATGGCAAGGCAACAACGGAGGAGTTACTAGGGCGTTGCCGACCTTTTGGGGATTAGGAATTTGGAGATTTTGGTATTGGCGGACAGGAAGGGTATTACAGGCTCCGGTTGAGCCGACCCATTTGTGCCAAAGTTGGGGGATACAGTTGGATGCAAAGATATGAAGATCAAACCCATCGACGTTCTAACGGAGAGTTATGGACGAAAATGGGCTGATGTGGATTTTATGTGGATATGGAGTTTCGGTATTGTAAAGTATCAAAGTAAATACGCGACCTATTCACAAATGGATTCTAAGTCCAAGACGAAGAAGGTGAAGGAATCGTTACCTACATTTAATGATATTAATGGAACTCTTTTGTCTAATTAAAGAGTAAATCTTATTTTATGTAATGAAACATCACGTTATAACTCACCAACAAGAGAGAATTTAAATGAAATCAACATTTTCGCCTAAACAAATAATTTTAATACTAAATTGGAATACAATACATTATTTTGTTATTATGTTTCTCAGATTGAAACGGCTTTTGTTATTTGCGACTGAATTTATTTACGTTTTTATTGTTTTCTATATTTATTTCTACTCCGAGGTTTTCTTTATGTTTTGGTAATATTATTGTTTGTTCATCTGTTTTTGTTTATTTAAGAACGTGTGTCGCCTGGACAGTCACCGCTACCATCAGTTGACTGGACAATCTCTTTACATGAGCTGCTGTTTACATGTGAACATTAGCTCATGACGATACCTAAGTACGTGTGTCGCCTGGACAGTCACCGCTACCATCAGTTGACTGGACAATCTCTTTACATGAGCTGCTGTTTACATGTGAACATTAGCTCATGACGATACCTAAGTACGTGTGTCGCCTGGACAGTCACCGCTACCATCAGTTGACTGGACAATCTCTTTACATGAGCTGCTGTTTACAGGTGAACATTAGCTCATGACGATACCTAAGTACGTGTGTCACCTGGACAGTCACCGCTACCATCAGTTGACTGGACAATCTCTTTACGGGAGCGGCTGCTATCTACTTTATACCTTACCGTCATTTGTTTAATGTTGATTTTTCTCTTTTTCAGCTTTGCTACGTGTGCAATAGCACAGGGCATAACTGCAGAGCGTTGCCACGAAGTTATCGATTAGACGAAGAAGTACCAACAGATATCGATGGCAATTCCATCAATGACGGAACTGATTTACCAGGTAAGATAAATATAGCTGTAGAACACATTAAGGTTTTTAACATTTTGTAAGGACCACTCAAAGAACACGGTAGAACATACATACAGTGGCTCAGGAATCGCGCCTGATATAGTGAGGAGCGAGAGAAACTGGGAAGCCGTCTCCTCGTTCTGCGAAGCAGTAATGCTTGCAAAGAAGGGCGCAGTTTGCGTTAGGGAACTATCCCCTCCACGCCCCAGCCGTCAAACGATCTCCGGCCACCATAAGTGACCAAAACCAGACCTGAGCGTATGGCGCATAGCGTTCCACGTGCGCCTCAAACGGCCAATAGACCACCCTACGAGGCCTATTAGCCAAGGTTGCAAGGTTGGCGCAATGAGGTACCACGGCCTTGGTCTAAAGCTTGAGCAGGAATATGACACTCCCTCTCGCCTCTCCCTGGGCGAGAGAAGTCATTGGATGATTTTCGTCAGAAAAAAAGGTTATTAAATATTCTGGATATATGAAAATGTAGGGTCCATAAAGAATCAATTCAATGACAACTTAATTTTTATTTAGTTTAAAGCTTAAAATCCAATGATAAGAATAGCATTGCATAGCCAATTCTAGGGATTATGGTTAAAACTCCTAAGCAGTTAATCTCACCTGTTCTTCTAGCAGTAATATTCCATTCTTCTCTTCTTTCCAGCGACAGAAGATGAAGATTATCAAGGAGTAGAAGATACGGATTTCGTGCTATACGTCAGTGCTGTGGAGACTGAGAGGTGTCGCCGTGGGCAGACGGTGGCTTACGCTTCTCATTGCCAGCAGGAAGCAGCGTTGGACAGGTCACCCATCCTTTTCTATACCTTGGCGTGTTACGCTTATGATGAGTTGACGCTTTTAAGATGATAGACTGTTTCCCAGTTATATGTACTTTCCAAGACTATTTAGACACCACTGGCATACGGTGACGGAAAACTGGACTTGTAATTTCTAATTATAAATTTGAAAGTGCCTGTATGGGTCTAATTTAATTAGACCTTTACAAGCACTTTTGAAATTAAAACAAATTTTTAAAGATATAAAGTGTCAGTCTGTCGGTCAATCCACTTAGTGAAGCTATTTGTTCGTTCCAAAGTGTAGATTCCGATGGAGAAGAACGAGCAAGAAACTCCATGGTTACTCTTTTTATGGGGCTCCATATATAAATGATTTTAACTGGACTTGAAGTTGATAAAATCAGGCTGCTGATGATGATGATGATGATTGGACGTGAGGAACATTAAAATATTGTTTATTTTCTTCACAGGCCAGTAGCTGGACATGCCAACTTTTGTCCTGGGGAGCTGTCCACCAACAACAGGGACCTTCCATCAGTGTTGTCCACAGTCAAACATGAAATGTTACACGCTCTGGGCTTCAGTGTATCATTGTTCGCGTTTTACAGGTAATTTGTTTGATTCAGAGTTTCAAACTAGCAGACGGTTTACCTGATGGTAAGCAGTCGGCGCCGCCCATGGACACTCGTTATACCAAAGGAGTTACTACAAGATACCACGGCCTCACAGAATACCGGCGTGAAACAACCCACAGCGTTGTGTTTCGCCGTGTGAGTGAGGTTACCGGAGGTCCAATCCCTCCCCTTCCCCTATCCTTTCCCAATCCTTATATCCGCAACCCCATCCCCAAAAGGCCGGCAACGCACTCGTAACTCCTTTGGTGTTGCGGGTGTCCATGGGCGGCGCCGATTGCTTACCATCAGGTAATCCGTCTGCTTGTTTGCCGACTTATACCATTAAAAAAAAAAGTGCGTTGTCGACCTCTTGTGGATTGCTCGGGATTTATGTACAAGGGATTTAACGATAGAGAATTGGAGGGGGGTGGAGGTTTGGGCGTCCGCTAACCGCACTGACACGACGAAACACAACTCAAGTGTTGTTTCAATCACTCACAATACTCGCAACACCAAAGGAATTACCATTTAACGGTAAACCATTTTATCGATATTGGCTTTTTTCCCTTAAATAAAGTAGGTCATCCCTAACGGCAATAAAAGGCATTCTCCATTGTCGATCTGGTGTGGATTCTTCAGGCCCGGGAAACTGTGCCTGAGGGATCTTAACATATCAACCCATATTTTTGTTGAGAGGCAACAGTGTTGACACACGTCACTTTATGTTTTCTAGTTTCTACTTCTTATTTCTTTTTGTCCCTTTTTGAGCTTTTTTAATATTTAAAACTTGTAATTTTGCAGTATGCACATAGTGTTACGTTACTATCTAGATCAAAACCTTTAGTTTTTAAGCTAATAATATTTGATTGTAATGAGTTTTGTGCATGAAATAAATAAATAAAAAAATAAAAAAATAAATAACGACAGCCATACCTACGCAACTGACAAATTGCAGTCGCATTATAGTCGTGTGTCTAGAAGAAATAGGCCTATAAGCTCTCTAGTGTTTATATTCTCTGGCTCTCGGTAACCTTATTCACACGGCAAAACACAACGTTGTGATTGTTTCACGCCGGTTCCCTGTTAGGCTGTGGTATCACTCCGGTCGTGCCGGCCCATTTGTGCCGTGATATGGCTCTCCTTGATTCTTTATTAGCATCCACATCTCCTGATGGTAAGCAATTAGCGTCGTTCACGGACACATGCAACACAAGTATGCACTAGTTACAAGTGCCTAGCCGGCCTTTTGGAGGCCGGTATGGCCTCCAAAAGGCCGGCTAGGCACTCTCAATGAGAAGCAGGATTGGGCCTCCGGTAACCTCGTCGTTGTTTCACGCTGGTGTGTGTGTCCATGTGTAAATCCATCACTCCTAACACGAAAGGACTTATAAATACGTTGCCAGCTTCTTTAGGGTTGTTAGGCATTTGAAGAACATTGGGGATCCGAGGGGGGGGGGGGGGATGTGTGTCTCCAAAAATCTTTCACACTTTTCTGTGAGGCCTTGGTATAACTTTTTTATGTGATAGGACGGCTATCGTGCCAACGGATTACCTGATGGTAAGCAATCAGTGCCGCTCTTGGACACCCATAACAACGGAGGAGTTACGAGTGCGTTGTTGACCTTTTGGGGATTAGATTTTTGAAAATATGACTCACACGGCAAAACACAACGCTATGGTTGTTTCACGCTGATTTTCTATGAGGCCGGGGTATCACTCCGATCGAGCCGACCCATTCGTGCCGCAGCTTGGCTCTCCCACACTTGTTTTTAGGTATATGTTTTAACATATATTGTTATTTTTCTTTTCAGAGATGAAAATGGAGAGCCGTTAACGGAAAGAAGACCAGACACTGGGAATCCACCGATGGACGAAGAGTGAGTTTTGTTTATCATTCAGATTAAGTATCATTAATTATTGTTTTGGTAGCCCACAGGCCAAAAACTTTATGTCAACTTGACCAAAAAGAAATAAAAGCAGAAATACGGTCTTCGACTTATCTACTGATAAGTTGGAAGTCGCTGCAGGATTCCATGATCAGATTCTGTCGCCCTAGTCAATAATCGGATAAGCTTCGCGATAATGATTATCGTTTAGAATCGATAATCATTATCGCTTTATAACCTAAGTTACATTTGAATGTATTATTTTATGTCATATACTTGTATGCAAATTGTAATATAATTATTTCTCCTGGCTATTTTGACCAAATATGGTTTTGTTTTATTATTTTTTTTATTTTACTGTAAATTTAATAGGTACATAAAAATACATCGGAAACTAAAAACTTAACTTTTTTGTAAAGTCGGTAAATTTACCTGAACAATACATTATACTTATAAGTTTTTAAAAACTGCATCACCATCGGTTCAACTGTTCATGAGACAAGAGCGAACTTTCATACATATTCACATTTTGTGTTCTTCCCAGGCTTTCGTTGTGCTTGAAGATCTTAAGACAGGCATTTCCACCTTAATGCTAATTCTATTAAATATTATTTTCAGATTACAAATCCACAAATGGTCAGATCGCGTCGTGAAGAATATAACGAGGAAAAACTGGATGATCCGAGGAGGATACATGGAGCGGACTTTTCATATGGTGGTCACTCCCAGAGTAGTTAGAGAGGTCAGTCTTTTTTCCTTGGTTCGGACTTGGATCAGAACACCTGATGGTAAGCAGTTGGCTACGCCGGCGCCACCTGAAATAAGAAAGAAGTTACAAATGCATGGATCTGGTGGGGGTTTTAGATAGAATAAGGCCTCCGGTAACCTCACTCACACTGTGAAACAAAGTGTTGTGGTTGTTTCACGCCGGTTTTCTACGAGACCGTGGTCTCACTGAAGTTATACAGACAGACAGAAATTAGCTAATAAAATCATTTATGAAATATCTTTTGAAACAAGTAAAATGTCTTATTAACATTCCCTAACATTTTTTTTTATGATATAGGTCGGCAAACGAGGCGGATTACCTGATGGTAAGCAATCAGCACCGCCCATGGACACTCGTGCTCTACTGACCTCTTGAGGGTTATTAGGGACTTAAGGATAGAGGATTGAGGTTCAGGGAGGGGAAGAATTGGGCTTCCGATAACCTCACTCACACGGTGAAAAACAATACTGTGGTTGTTTCACGCCGGTTTTATGTGAGGCCGTGGTATCACTCCGGTCGAGCCGACCCATTCGTGCCGAAGCTTGGCTCTCCCGCACTTATTTTTATTACATTTCTTTTATTTCCAGGTGCGAGATCACTTTAACTGTTCAGAATTGGAAGGTGCTGAATTGGAAGACCAGGGCGGAGATGGTACAGCACTTACTCATTGGGAGAAGAGGATTTTTGAGGTAAAGTCTGAAAGTTTAAATGAGCTGACGTATTAGTATTGTTACCTGATGGTAAGCAATTTTAGGGTAAATGGCAATAAAAATTTACAGAGTCACGTAAATTTATCGAGAGAGTTGGTTTAAACATTCTCATCTCAGAAATTACTGGTTCAGTTGAACTATTACTAATAATTGAGCGAATAGCTTCACTAAGAGGACTGACCGACAGACTGACACTTTATATCTTTAAAATTTTGTTTGACGTTCAAAAGCGCCTGCCTGTATGGGTCTAATTGAAATAAATGATTTTGACTTTTTGACTTTTGACTTTTTATTATTTTTGTGTTGTACAGCTCATTTCAAATTCGCCTCACCTTTAAATAATTTATTTCAAGTATTATTTTAATTGATTTATAATTTAAGATTTTGAATGTCTAACTAAATAATTGTATAATTTATAGAGGAATAAAATATACAGCTATAAATAAAAGCCGGGGTTGCGGGGTAAGAGCAAAAAGTCACCGCGGCCTCGGCCCAGAGCGAAGGGGTTTTTAGTCAGTAAGAGTCAGACACTCTCTCTCGCTGACCCTGGACTCATCATTTGATGATTTTAACCCCCCAAAAAGAATCAGCGCACAAAGGTCTTCTTTTTCTATTTCAACGTGTTTGTTTTTATTTGTATGATTTTTTTACTACCACAAGCTTATTTTTTTTCACTATTCTTCCACAGAATGAAGCTATGACCGGTACTCATACCCAGAACTCGGTCTTCAGCCGGATAACCTTCGCCCTCATGGAAGATACTGGATGGTACCGCGCCAATTACGAACTCGCCACCCCCCTGGACTGGGGCAAAGGCCTAGGGTGCAAGTTTTCAATGGTGTCCTGCAAACAATGGCTCAATTCGCAAAGGTTCAGGTAATTTCAGTACTTTTGGGCTTTTTGGAAGTGGTTAGGTGTGTCGGATATCCTTTTTTAACCCCCGACGCAAAAAGAGGGGTGTTATAAGTTTAAGGTGTCTGTCTGTCTGTCTGTGGCATCATAGCTCCTGAACGAATGAACCGATTTCAATTTAGTTTTTTTTTTGTATAACAGTTGTTTTATGGGAGAGTGTTCTTAGACATGTTTAATGAAAATCGATTGAGCCTTTTAAAAGTTATGGGGGTTAAAGTGGGGAAGAAAAACTGAATGTCTGTAAATATGCTCAAGTGGGGTATCAAATGAAAGGTTATGACTTGGACGTCACAAAAAACAAAAACTTTAATAAGTTTGCTTGTTTAGCTCCTGAACGAATGAAACGATTTCAAACAAGTTTTTTTTGTATTATGTACTTTTTAAAGGTAGCTTATGTTTTTTTGTCTTGGGGGACTTTTGTAAAGGATATTTGACGGTTTAGGTTAGTTTTAACAAATATACATTACTAGCTTCAGCCCACGGCATCGTCCGCGTGGTATGTTGATAAAAAGTAGCCTATTTCCTATTCCGGAGTACATCTTTTGCCTGTGCAGCCGTTTTGGCGTGATTGAGTAACAAACATCCGAACATCGTAACTTTCGCATCTATAATATTAGAAAGACAAAATATTATAAAGAGGTAAAATTTGTAAGTTTGTATGTAGGGGGTTCTTTGGAACCGATGGTCGGATTGCCAAAATTCTTTCACTGATAGATAGCTACAATGTTCCTGAGTCCTATAGGCTAAATTATACTTTTTACGTTTTAAATGTTTCTATTTTAAAAATCCCGGGATACATTACTTATATACCTATAACAAAAATATTGGTGATATATTTCTGTAAATATTATTTTTTTTTTTTGAAAAATCTTTGATCCACTTTAAGTCGAACGTAATTTTCTTCATACTTCGTAAAATAAAAGTTTTTTTATATGATTTTGAACCTTGCTTCCTAGCAGTAAAGTTTAAAATCATAAAAATTTACTACATTGACATTACTATAGGATTTTTCTATTATATATATTGCCCTGACCACTTCCAAATGGGTTTCTGTGTTGTATTTATCTGTAAATAGCTTTAGAAAAATATACAGTTTGTTTATTATCGAATTTTCGATACCACAGCGACAAAACAATCCTACAATATTACGAATCCTAAATACTTAGGGCTGATTTTTCAATAGTCAGATAAATGTTATCCGAGGAATAAAATTGTTGCTGTCTCTGTCTTATACAAACATTCTGACGCGAAATCATCATAATTTGCATAAAGACATTGTACTCCTGGTAACTTTTATCAAATCATTGAAAAATTTGCCCTAAATCAAATATCACTACATTGTATAAAGCAAAGTCTCTTTCTCTGTCCCTATATCGTTATGTATGCTTAATTCTATGAAACTGCGCAGTGGTTTTTGATGCAGTTTTTTTAGATAAAGATAATTTATTAAATAATAGATACATTGATTGAAGATGAAGGTTTACTTATGTGACTTCCTGCAGATTTTTGTATTGGTATAAAAACTACGATATGTCCGTTCTCGAGTTCCAAACTATGTCTGTACCAAATATCACAGAAATCGGTTCAGTAGTTTAGACGTGAAGAAAATACAGACAGGGTTACTTTCGCATTTATAATATTAGTTTGGATTTGAATATAAAATATTTAATAATTATGTATTTAAATTGTTTATCAATTATCGAAAATTCGATTCTTAACATGCTGTATATTTTAAGATAAATATGTTAATGTACTAATCCTAGATGAATTATTTAGGTAGTAGGTATCATATTCTTTTAAAACTGTAAACAGTCCACCATCAGCCTATAAGACAAGTGCCCACTGCTGAGCAAAGGCTTCTTCTCACACGGAGAAGGTTTGAGCATTAATCACGACGCTTGCTCAATGCGGATTGGCGATTTCAAACTTATAATTAGTAATTATAAGTCCAGGTTTCCTCACGATGTTTTCCTTCACCGTATGTCAGTGGTGTCTAAATAATCGTAAAAAGTACATATGTCTAAGAAAAAGTCTTTTTGTTCTTGCTAAGTTTGGCAATTTTTAATTATAGGTCTGAAATTGCCCCTTGAGCAAACGTTTTGAAAAATGCACAAACCTTCTCCGTGTGAGAAGCGGCTTTAAGCTCAGCAGTGGGAACTTATAGGCTGATGATGATGATGATGATGATGATGATGATGATGATGATGTTTAACTAATAATAATAATAATATGTTACAAGCGATCCAATGGATAATTCTACAATAAAGTAAGTGTGCCATTTTTAAGTAGATTCCTTTTGTTTCTCACTGACTGAGTGACAGACAAGCACACAGCTGTAAGTACTACGTCTAGCTAGAAGTATGACACCGTAAGGAGAGATGATCTCCGGCCACCGTAAGCGCGGGTCTGCGGACGGCGAGTAGCTCGCCGCCCGACCAGAACCAGACCCGAGCGTACGGCGCAAGGGCGGATCCACCGTTGTGGGCACGATGGGCATGCCCACAACCTTATTACACTTGTGATTGAAATAGGTTTGGATCGAAACTGACTATTAGAAATTAGAAGAAATCGTGTCCGACTTCTTCCTAAGTTTATTTACATTCCTAAGGCCAAAGTTCTGATGCTCGGAAAAAAGGAAATCTAATTCATAAGTTCATAAACGATTTGCATGATTGTTAATGAGCATGTCCATGCTCCGACTCGTACTTAGCCGATTTTCTAGTAGCTGTGACCACAACCTTTTTTGAAGGCTGGATCCGCGCTTGGTACGGCGCGTAGCGTTCCGCGCGCGCCTCAAAGAGCCAATATACTATCACAGACGGGGCCCTATAGGGCTGATGTTCAGCCGGGGTTGCGGGGTAAGCGCAATGAGGCAACGGGTCTCGGCCTAGACCAGAAGGAACGAGGGGTTTTTAGTCAGTAAGAGTCTGACACTCCCACTCGCCCGACCTTGGGCGGGAGAAGTTATTTGATGATTTTTCCTCTCACAAAAAAAAGTTGTGTGGCATGTATCGCTGTACGAGTGTAGGGTAGTGATGAGAGAGAGATGTATGATATGTTTAAGAGATCTGTAGGCCTACCATGACTTGTTATTGCTTGAATCTTCCGGGCGAGAAAGAGGGATGGAGCTATAAACAGTGTATAGCTCCATCACTCTTTCTCGCCCCGAAGATTGGCTGTTTATGTCTGTCTATGTCCTCAGAGCAAGATTGATTGTTATTTCCAATTTGGTAGGTAAGCGTGGGAGAGCCATGCATCGGCACGAAAGCATGGCTTTGGAATTAGACCTCCGGTGACCTCACTCACACTGCGAAACATAACGCTGTTTTACGCCGGTTTTCTATGAGGTCGTGGTAACACTCCGGTCGAGCCGGAGCCGACATATTCGTGACAAAGCATGGCTCTCCCACACTTAAAATAAATAAACCTTACTAATTGAACTTTAGTTCATTGTTTTGTTACTAAAACTAATATTTCATTCCGAAGTAATACTAACGGGACTTTGGAGAGAGAGTGAGTAAATTTCATTAAAGAAATAGTTTTATGCTTTCTTGTTTGTTCGCTTGCTTTCTTGTTTGTAGGCGTTTTTCTCCGAAACTAGTAGATGGATTTTAATAATTCTTTTTGCATGTTGTAGTAGTGTTCTTTAGGAATGGTTTAAGATATCAAGCATCACGATTTGATACTTAGTGGCTAGGCAGGAGGGTGGAATTGCGTAGTTTTCTAGGTCAAAAATAAATTAATTCGAAGTTTCAATACAATAAAATATTGAATCTTAACTATAATTTTATTCATCGATCGGTCGATACACTAAATTTTAGATATTTATTAATACTAATTTTTAAGAAATAAGTAAGCTATTTGACGTTAAATACTATGACGTCATAACTCAGCGTTTCATACAAATTTCATAGTAAAGTATCGTTTTTGACATTTGGATAAAAGTATTGAATTTGACTGGTTGGAAACTATCTTATTTCAGATTAGTTATTGCGAAAAAATTGTGTTTTTTATGCACGTTTTTATTTGGTTTCTGTGTGTTTGTGTGATTGTTTTAAACGTGTGTGATTTTGTTTTTGGTTTTTGCTGTTTTATAACTACTTATAAGAAAAATGTTAAAAGCATGTTTCTTTTTTAGAATAATGTTCAGTAAAAGTTTGTGGTTCAAAACTATATTATTCTACTTTATTATCCACTTTCTCACGGAACTGTTTGTAATATAACACGATTAGTTCCAAGCCACGCTAGGGACTTATATTATTTCTGAGCCTGATTTGAAACTTGTAGAGTCCTGTCGAGTTATCGCAAAAAAGCAATATTCTATTGTATTAAGGGCTGATTTTTCAATAGTCAGATAAATGTTTTCTGAGGAATAAAATTGTTGCTGTCACTTTCTTATACTAACATTCTGACGCGACAGCATCATAGTTGGGTAGTTTCCTAGGTCAAAAATAAATAAATTCGACGTTTTAATATAATAAAATATTGATAAATAACTATACTTTTAGTCATCGATCGATCGATACACTAAGTTTTAGATATTTTTTAGCTATTTTTTTAAAAATAAGTGAGCTATTTGACGCAAAAATGCTATGACGACATAATTCAATGTACATACAAATTTCATAGAAAAGTATCGTTTTTGACATTTGGATAAAAGTATTTAATTTGACTAGTTGGAAACTACCGTATTATTCCCCAGGTAATTTTTATCCAACCATTGAAGAATCAGCCCTGAAATGTTTCAAAAGTACACGTATATGGTTTAGTTGGAATACAATGATTTTTGACTTTCACATGAACAGTTGCATGAGTTAGCTTTAATATGTACACACAGGTTATGTTCGGGTTACTTCGACTCTATGGGGTAACTTTGGCTCAAATCCTTTACCAGTAATTTTGTTTTCATGTCACATCTAAACTATCAATGATTATGATTTTTTTATTGCTTGGAAGAGCGGAATGCACTACCACAAGAAATTGTGTTTTTTTAAATGTATATTGTATAAGTTATTGAAATAAAAACTTTATTATTATTAACAATAATTCTGAACCAAACGTAGTTAGGTATATTAGTTTTTCATTGATTTGAAAGTTTGGAACAAAGTTATCCTGTAAAGCCAAAGTAATCAGAATTTACTATAATAAATTGATTTAGGGCTGATTTTTTAATGGTTAAATAAAAGTTACCTGGAGAATAATTATGATGCTGTCGCGTCAGAATGTTTGTATAAGACAGTGACAGCGACAATTTTATTCCTCGCATAACATTTATCTGACTATTGAAAAATCTGCTCTAAAAAGGAGTAATTTGTTTTAACTTTAATTAATATTTTCTTAACTTATCTACAGGCGAAAGAATCCGGCTCCCTTCTGTGAGAGGATCAAAGGGAATCCTTTAAGAACAGAGTGCTCGCCGCGTCGTAACGCCGTGGTCCTCTGCAACCTCGTCCTACATGATACCATACTCCCCAGAGCTTATCAGGTAAGATCTTCACTGAAATAATTTATAGAATCAAACGTTGCTTTGTGGAAATCCATGACATTAATGTTGAGAAAAATATTTAGTTTTAATTCCGCGACAAAAGTCCAGGCTTGTTGCAGGATGCAATCCCATGCAATGATGCTTCTGCACATGCAAATGCAGCAAAGGAAACATGCACATGTGCATAACACGTGCAAAACACGGAAAAACATGCCACGCAATCAAACCTATACTCGACACGTGTTTCGCCCCTCCACAGGGCATACAACATATAGTTGCGGGGGTATAAAAATTATTTGAATACCTTGGTAGGCTTGACGTTTCGACCTGGTTGTACAGGTCGTGGTCACAAGCAGACTGAAGATGCGATGTCACAGCTCCCTGCATTCGGGCGATGACTTTTATATACTTATTTTTCATAAGATTGAATTTTTTCGTCACTGAAACTTGAGGCATTAAGTGGGGGAGAGCCATGCTTCGGCACGAATGGGTCAGCTCGACCGGAGTGATACCACGGCCTCACAGAAAACCGGCGTGAAACAACCACAGCGTTGTGTTTTGCCGTGTGAGTGAGGTTACCGGAGGCCCAATCCTTCCCCTCCCCCAATCCCTCCTCAATCCCTAAATGGAGCCGCCCATGGACACCCGCAACGGAGGAGTTACGAGTGCGTTGCCGACCTTTTAGGGATTAGGGATTTGGAGATTATGGGTTTTGGGAAGGGGAAGGATTAGGGATGAGGTTATACTGGTATTTTATAGTTTTTTTTATCCCTTCTGAACTTCAACTGTATACTCTTGTTACAGCATTTTGATACGCTGCCGAACGTGGCTCCTGGCGAGGAGGCCCACTATGGCGGCTCCGTATCCCTGGCAGACTACTGTCCCTACCTCCAGGAGTTTACTTGGAGACACAAGAGTGTCCTCGTCAGAGGCAGCCGGTGTTCTTACGAAGAAAATACGCCGAGTAAGTGTTGGAAATATGAAGTACCTATTTAATTATAAACTTGTATCTGTTATAGGCTTTGCACTTAGTACTTTCCAGGGTAATACGTAGCCTATGTGTTAATTCCAGGCCATAATACCTCTTTCTCTATCTCCCTCTCTCTTTCACTCTGTCTCTCTCTCTATCGCGTGTGTGTGTGTGTGTGTGTGTGTGTGTGTGTGTGTGTGTGTGTGTGTGTGTGTGTGGGTGTGTGTGTGTGTGTGTGTGTGTGTGTGTGTGTGTGTGTGTGTGTGTGTGTGTGTACAAATCCGGTATGAATCTCATAAGTACTTATTTAATGAAAAAAATATACTTATAAAATTTCGCGTTCATCATATTAGTAGTTTCCGATATTTTATCAACATTAACAGGATTATCATAATAATATAGCTTAATTCTTCCCGGAATCGCAGGCGAAGACGGTGGTAGTTGGTAGTTAAATATGTATATGTGTGTAAGTTTATTAGGATGTATGCAACTCTTTTACTCGAAAACTAATAAACAGATACAAATGAAATTTAGCACAGAGATAGATTATAGTCTGGAATAACACACAGGATACTTTTATACAAAAAAGCCAATATTAAATAAGTAATTTTTATTGTTATTCTTTTTCTTACAGAAAGTGACGTGAATTTCGCTTTAGAAAATTATGGAGCGCACTCCAAGTGTTTTGACCATAGTGACCGGGTTTGGGAGCAAAAATCGTGTAGACAGGTAAATATAAAAGTCCAGAAACGATCTCAGGCCGCCGTAAGGGCGGATCTGCGGTCGGCGAGTAAGGGTAGCTCGCCGCCCGACCAAAACCAGACCCGAGCGTTCGGCGCGTAGCGTTCCGCGCGCGCCTCAAAGAGCCAATAGACCACCACAGACGGGGCCCTAAAGTGCTCATGTTCAGCCGGGGTTGCGGGGTAAGCGCAATGAGTCACCGCGACCTCGGCACAGAGCAGGAGAAGGAACAGGGGGGTTTTAGACAGTAAGAGCCTGACACTAGCCATTTGATGAATTTTTGCTATCAAAAAAAAAAAAGTTAAAATGAAAACTATTGATTCCAACTAAACTATATAAACTTTGCCCTTCTCTGAGGGAGTGGGCTGAAAACCTGGCAAGTAGCAATGTGACTTTTTCCGAGTTATATGTACTTTCTATGATTATTTAGACACCACTGACATACGGTGATGGAAAACATCGTGAGGAAACCTGGACTTATAATTTCTAAATTATAATAACTGAGATGTTTGAAATCCAACGATTCCAGTCATATTTTGTTTTACCTGCTAATAATTAACATTTTGGTTAAATTCATATTTGTTTTGTTTGATTATTTTTCAGATTAGAGAATGGCAACACTGGGGTTCGGGTTGCTACAAATATAAATGTGAAAGCGGTCGGCTGCATATTGTGGTAAGTATATGTGTGTAAGTATATTCTTTTTAACTGACTTCAAAAAAAAGGAGGAGGTTCTCAATTCGTCGGGATATTTTTCTTCTATTTTTTTATGTATGTTCACCGATTACTCGATGACGCCTGTGCGGTTTTTTTTTATACAGTTGTGGTAATCGAAGTGACTAATCACTTGGTAAGCAATCCGCTTGGTTCATGGACATCTGCAACACCACAGGTTAAAAGTACCGTAAGCCCGGGTTACTTCTAGGTAAGTGCGGGAGAGCCATACTTCGGCACGAATGGGTCGGCTCGACCGGAGTGATACCACGGCCTCACAGAAAACCGGCGTGAAACAACCACAGCGTTGTGTTTCGCCGTGTGAGTGAGGTTACCAGAGATCCAATCCATCCCCATCTACCCATTCTCAATCCTCAAATTCACAATCGTAACATCCCTAATAATCCACAAAAGGCCGGCAAAGCACTTGTAGTACTTAACTCCTTTTTTATTACTGTCCATGGGCGGTACTGGTTACCCGTTCTTACCTTCAGGTAATCCGTCTGCTCGTTTGCCGAACTATAGCATAAAAAGAACAAAAATAAAACCTGATCACGAATAGGTAGAAAAAATGACTTCTAAAATATGTTAAATTCTTTCCCAGGTCGGTAACTATTCATACACGTGCTTCCACGCGAGCCAAGTACTCCAAATAAGGATAATCAAAAAAGGGTGGTTACACAAAGGAGGCGTGGTCTGTCCGCCGTGCCGAGAAGTTTGCAAGGAAGAGTTTGCGGTAAGTCCTTCTTTAATAGTTAAAAGAAATATAAATAAGGGTGTTGTTGTACTTAAGTCACATTTTCGTTTTGCATTTTTCATTCGAATGATTCATTCGAACGCAAGAGTGTGCAAGAGAGCGGTAACCGGTTGTCGTTTGGGGTTTGACTGAACGGCGCAGTGCGTAAGGTCCAGCAACCGGTCACCGCTTGGGGATCGAAGGGTTAAAGCTCTTGTGTCCTCCCATGCTAACTTGACACTGTTGGCGCGATGCGGTGGCTGGGTAATTGGATGCCGTTGCGGGTTCGAGTCCCGCAGGGAACAACTCTTTGTGTGATCCACAAATTGTTGTTCTGGGTCTAGGAGTGATGTGACACACCAGAAAATCCTACAGTGGGGCAACGTTGTACACAAAAAAATACGTTAAATTTTTGCCACAAGCCGTGATTAGATTTAGCGACATCTGTTGACCAAAATAGACAGTAATACTCATTATCGCAGCCGCTAGATGGTGCTAGGCAAGTTTAAAAGTAAATAGGGGCAGCTTATGTAAAGCAGTATGTAGAGTCTAGTACTTTCAAAAGATTGTAATAATTTATTTATTTGTATATTTTTTTCAGTCCCGAAACGAATATTGCAAAGGTGGGGAAGAACCTTTGCCGCCAAATTTATACCACAATGACGTTTTAACATGTTCAGCCGTCAACTTGACATCTCCCGCCTTTTTACTCAGCGCCATTTTGATTTTAATATTCAGTTTAAAATAGGTATATTTTTTTGTATTCGTATTTATTTATTTTGTAGACTCGTATTTAAGTACCGACTGCTCGTCCAAGACGTATTTTTGTAATTTTCTTTTCTTACTTTTGGATCGATTTCTTGTCTGATAAAATGCGGTGTTTTAAAAAACTTTGAGCTCAAAATACCTTAGTAGATATCATTATTAATTGGGAAATAAATTAAGTCAATTCAAAAAGAGAAAATTATGAGCTGATTTTCCAATGGTTAGATTAAAGTTGCCTGGGGAATAATTATGATGCTGTCGCGTCAGAATAAGACAGTAACAGCAACAATTTTATTCCTCAGATAGCATTTATCTGACTACTGATTAATCAGCCCTTAGTTATGAATGTCATGTAATATCCCGCTAAATATTTGAGCTACCTACCTACTATAAAATTATTAAATTTTGTTCTACAAAAAATCGGTCTGAATTTTCCTATATGGATAAAAAATTGTACTGTTATACGAATATTACTAAAAAATACAATAAGTATAATACTTTCTTGAACGTTACTTAATCCAATGTTTACTTTTACGAAAATGTCGACTTTTTTAAGAAACAATCGTCCAATTTTTTAAAATTTATTCTATATAATTTTAATTTGTACCTAAGTGGTATAACGTGATAATGAAAAGTTTATAACAAAAGGAATTTAATTATGACAATCAATTTAAATTGTTTTTTGAAATGTCAATGATACGTTTCAATTAATTTTAATGACATACCTACTCGTAAAACATATAAAACTTATTTCTTTTAGGGCTGATTTTTCAATGGTTAGATAAAAGTTATCTGCGGAATAATTATGATGCTGTTGCGTCAGAATGTTTGTGTAAGACAGTGACAGCAACCATTTTATTCCTCAGACAACATTTATCTGTCTATTGAAAAACGTGACAGCATCATAATTATTTGTCAGGTAACTTTTATCTGACTATTGAAAAATCAGCACTAAAATCAATAAATATGATGATATAATTAAATCTCTTAAAAACAAAGGCAACATCACATTTAGAGATTTTGTTTCAGAAAACACTTTAGGAAGTCTGTATTTTTTTAATGCAGCCTATCTTTGTAATCTTTTTACTACTAGATTTCTTTTGCTAGACTTAAAATGTTGACACAGGTAACTGAGGTTATGTCAACATTAATGTCAAAATTATTTCTCTAGTTAGAAAATCTTATAGTTTTAAAACGGTCGTTAGCTATCTTTCATGTGATTTTAGTTAATGTATTCTAAGTGTATGTTAGGATTTAAGTTATATTTTGCTGCAATATTAACGTTATTTTATGTTTATTTTAAACGAGTTTGGGAGATGATATTTGTCCTTTATTACATTAAATAAAGGACTCATTACGTTACTGGTCCAATTGTCAGTAAAAAAATATTACTTAAACAATTCTGTACATAACCTACAAAAAAATTAAAAGTTTTATTTAAAAAAAAACTATTTCATGAGTGACTTAAATGTCATTCTATTTGACATTTGACACTGACATTTGTCAAGCTATGTCAATCCCTCAATTTTGACTTTTAAAGACTTCTGACTCTGATTGTGTCAACTCTCCAGTCGAGTTAAGTTTGAAATAGAGATTTTCAAAATACCTCTATAATAACCCCGATTTCTGGTTTTCAACTCACCCCATATTATGTACGTAAACTCATAAGATGGTAAACAATTTTACATGCTAATTTGAACCTGTGAATAATCTTTCAGAGGTTTTAAAATCAATCGAGCCCAATGTAATACGGGCCAAAGGTTTTATTCGTTCGAAAACCTTTAATTTCTTTACAACTATCTTTATTTATTGGCCAGTATCATTTATCTTATATGCCTGTAGATTTGCTACCTAAAGATAGAATTTTGACATAATCTTTTTATGTATATAAAATGTGTCGAAATTCAAAGTTCGAAGTCATTTATTCCAAATACACCATAAATAGGTATTTCTATCGTGGTGGCCCGGTTAAGGCGCCCGCTTCTCATGCATGAGGGCGCGAGATCGAAACCTGGCAAGTACCAATGTGACTTTTTCCGAGTCATATGTACTTTCTAACATCGTATAGACACAACTGACATACGGTGAAGGAAAACATCGTGAGGAAACCTGGACTTATAATTTCTAATTATAAGTTTGAAATAGCTAAACCGCTTTGAGCAAGCGTGGTGATTAATGCTCAAACCTTCTCCGTGTGAGAAGAGGCCTTTGCTCAGCAGTGGGCACTTATAGGCTGATGATGATGATGATGAGGTATTTTTGTCAGTAAAAGAAAATTAGATTTGTATTATCTATAAGCGAATCTACGAATATATAGGAATCTGATTCTGGCGTTCAATTGGTATAATAAAATGTTACCGGACCAAGGATCTTGTATATAAGCTATTTTTTAAGGTTATAATCTAAAAAAAACTACTTATCTACTTAAAATTATCTTAAATTCGATCTGTAAATGCCATATTTTAAATTATTTTTTGTTTAAAAATGAAACTGATTCGTACTATACTTAAGGATTACTTACTTAATTTTTAAATGAGTCAAATTTATATCTAATGGTATGCTGGTTAAGTCATTAATATAATACTACAGCAGAGACACAATCCCACTCCCCTATCCCCAATCCCCTTCATCTGTCCGATCACCCCCTGGGGATTAGCCCCAATCCCTCAGCCAACTTCCACAATCCCCCATCCCACCCCCCAATCCCTCATCTCACATACCCGATCCACCATCCTACAGCCACGATTCTTCATCCCACATCCACAATTGTCAATCCCTTACACCTAAGAGGCTAACAATGCACTTACAACTCTTTAATATTGCGAGTGTCCATGTCTGGTACAAATTGCTTACCATCAGATAATCCGTCATCACATAAAAGTCTATTGAAATCAACAAAGTTAGCCCAAAGTTCGCTTGCAAGAATATATTTATGACTGAACCAGCTTTTATTTAATTCTAAGCTTTATTGTATAAGTCATGAATGTGTAATTACGTTATTTTTTTAATAAATTGGACTTAATGCAGGACAATTATCCAAGTACTAAGCTTTCGCCACCTTCAATAAGTTTCCTATAAACTTATGTGAAACATAGTTCATACAAATACATTTCTATATTTTTTTATCTGGTATTAAATTGTGGGTGAGCCATGCTTCGGTTCGACCGAAATGATACCACGGCCTCACAGAAAACCGGCGTGAAACAACCACAGCGTTGTGTTTCGCCGTGTGAGTGAAGTTGCTGATTTCCAAGAGTCCCGGTTTAGCTTGAAACTCGTCGAGCATGCTCGAAACAGTTACATTAGTATTTTTTAAGAAATTAAACGCCTTGTCGGACGTTTTTCGACGGAGGATAAGCTTTCCAAGATTTTTTGTGGGCAATCAAACGCTTAAGTTTATAATTGTTTTTTTTTATTAAAAAAATATAATTTGTCCTGTAAAGTCCAAGTGATCTGCTTACTGTAAATATAGTTAATAAGAAAATTTGGTGCTTTAAACTTTTTTATTATTAGTTCAATTCCTAATTCCTAAGTCTTAAATATGTACTACGTATTTAACTTATAAATATTGTTTTTTCAAAGTGGATTTTTTTTTGTTTTTTTTTCTTTGTATTGTATGTTTTTTCGATCATTTTTCATGGAGTTTAGTACAAGGAGTTGGTACAGTTTTTTAGACGAAAAAAAAAACTGAAAAATATTTTGGATGACTGATACAGACATTTTTTTTTCAAATATTTTAAAAAAGTCGTTATTATAGCTAGTGACAGTAAAAGATGCCGTTTTTTGTGTTTAAACTCCATGAAAAAACTGTTCAGCTATTTTATTATGATACCATGCAAAGTAATCTTACCGTGTATAATAATATTATGTATGTACATGAAATTATGTAAAAAATAATGCAAAAAAAATATTGTGAAAAGTGAAAAATGTGAACGTATTATAAATTAAAAAAGGAGAAAATTTGTAATAAAATTAAAAGGATATTTTTAAACGATTATGCTGGTTTTATTTATTAATTAGTTAGTATTTTTGTCTCAGGAACCCAATATTTTCATTGAAAATCACTATGAGGGCTGCTAATTTGGCAGGATCTATCAAAATGGGCATATGAAAATGTCGTGGTGGCCCGGAAGTTAAGGAGCCCGCTTCTCGTGCATGAGGGTGTTTGTTCGAAACCTGGCAAGTACCAATGTGACTTTTTCCGAGTTATGTGTACTTTCAATGATTTTTTAGACACCTCTGACATACGGTGTAAGTAAACATCGTGAGGAAACCTGGACTTATAATTTCTAATTAAATATAACTTTGAAATCGCCAACCCGCATTGAGCAAGCGTGGTGATCAATGCTCTAACCTTCTTCGTATGAGAAGAGGCGTTTACTTAGCAGTGGGCACTTATAGGCTGATGATGATGATGACCCAGTCATGGCTAGAAATTGGTCGAGCGTTTACGAAAACTACCTAACCCGTATGATAATGTTTATAATACGGCAACAAATCTACACGGCACTTATTTTATAACACACATATTGTGGTGGTGGCCCGGAGGTTAGGGCGCCCGCTTCTCATGCATGAGAGTGCGGGTTCGAAACCTGGACTTATAATTTCTAGTTATAAGTTTGAAATCGCCAACCCGCATTGAGCAAGCGTGGTGATTAATGCTCTAACCTTCTCCGTGTGAGAAGAGGCCTTTGATCAGCAGTGGGCACTTATAGGCTGATGATGATGATGATGATGATGATGACTTATTTCATAGGAGATTCTCTTAAGAATGTACACAAATATAAATCGCAGGATTTTATTAATCACCACATAGTACTTATAAAACAAAGTCGGTTTCTCTGTCCCTATATCCCTATGTATGCTTAAATCTTTAAAACTACGCAACGGATTTTTATACCGTTTTTTTAATAGGTGGGTGATTGAAGAGGAAGGTTTATATGTATAACAACATCCATTAAATAGAGAAATTGCGAAGCTAGGGCAGCTTTTGCCCGCGTCTCCATTCGCGTGGAATAGTGACTTCCTGCAGA